AATATTATAAAAAAAACTATAAATAAATTCGATGGTATTGCAAACAAAATTTTTAAAATTATAAATAGCCTTTACAATTTGTTTCATCCAAAGTCGTTCTATTAATGGTACTATAAAATACTTGAACTTTTGAAAAACTAAAATAATAATACTTTTACTATGGCTTGAATTTTGATAATCAGAAAACTTGTAGACAAAACTTGCTCTTTACCACAACATTTTATTGCTATTGCTAATCATTTACCTGTCATTACCCCTTCAAAATTTATTTATTTTGTCAATATTTAATTATTCTTAAAACGTTTTTTTCTGAATTTGTAATGTTTGTAATTATTTACTATAATGTTTTGCTAATTTAATACTCCAAGCAAATGAGTGATTCAAACGAGCCAATAAACAAAAATAACAACAACAGCAAACATCACGTATTATTGTGTGTGTGTGTGTTTGGTTGTGTGTTTGTGTGTGTGTGTGCTGTTTGATTGTGTGTCTGTGGTTGTGTAGTGCGTAGTTGTGTAATGTAGGTGCGTGTAATTAGGTGCTTTTATATGTAGGTCTATGTGTGAAATAGTGTGTAATTACGGGACACTCGATATGGGAAAATTCAATTTGATTTCGATTCGAACTCGGCTTGTATGCATTCGATGAAATTTACGCTATGAGATTTCAATACTCAGAACAGCACAAATGATATTCGACGCAAATTTGAATATGAATCCTTTTTGGAAATATATGACGTGAATATATGTGTGCTGCATGATTGAAGGCAATTGTTCTGCTTGTAATGCCACGAATCAAAATGCACCTGGAACTCTGTGATCTGAAGACAAATGTATATTTAATGAAGGATATTCGATAATAAAGTAGGCTAAAATGGAGAGCGATAGCAAAGAAGTAGACAATTCTTGTGGAAAGTAAGTTGAGCTCTTATGGTAGGTCTTTAACAATTTCAACTCAGAGCGTTTCTACCAACATTCTATTAAAGCCAATTTTCATTAGCAAACTAACTAAGAGCTCAGCTTTATAAAAATTATTGGTAGCTTGAATAGGAGTTTGTTAATGGTAGAATCTCTAAAGTGCATGAGGGAAAAGAATATATAGAAACTTATTGATATATTCAGAGTGATTTTTTAGTGTTCTTAATAAGTTGTATGTAGGTAAAAGAATAAATATACAATATGTAATAAAAGTGCAATAAATGAATAGTCATCTACATATATTTAAAAAATAGGCAATCTTTAATGATGAAAGATTTACATTCAAAAATGATTCCATCTACATACTTGGGTATAACAACATGCCACATGCAAAAGTTTATGCCCCGCAGATTGTCAAAAGTCCAAGCATGTCTTTTGCAGTTCCCTTTTTTTGCATTCTTACCTTTTCGCCCGAATCGCTGGGCAAATAAAAGACCAAAACGGTGAGAAAAGTTAATGCCACGCAGGGCACAATCAAATTCACCGTATAAAACAACGTTTTGCGCCGCATGGTCAACTTGAAGGTAATATCTGCAACAGACATCAAATTTACATATTACAAGCCACCCACAAAAACTGTGCAGCAGTTCACCTGAAAATGGCTCCAATGTGTCCGGATAGTATTCCTCGTTTTTAGTAGCCGGCACTTCGAGTATATCCCACTCGACAGACAAATAGAATTCACTTAAATCGATGCCCACCTGCACAAGATTGCTGCCAGGCACCTGTGCGAGGAACACAAACGTACAAACGAGTATTAGTCGAGCGACCGAACCAGTCTAGGCAATTTGTTTGGTGATGTGATACCCCTACCCAACCCCCCCTGTATGTGTCTGCATAAATTGCATTCTGTGCATTGAAGCGCAAAGCAAATTTGCATCCATCCGGTTGCAGCTTAATCGAAATACGGTTTGGCTTTTACCTGATCCAAATGTTTTAGATCCACTTGGGCGCCATTATAGGTCCATGAGCCGAATTTCATGAAACAAATTTGTTCATCGTATGGAAAATATTCGACGTTCATTTCACAGGATGACTTGTAAATCGCTGGAGGCTCCCAAAACACCTCCCCCGTATATTTCAGGGTTGCCTTTGTCATAAGTGTGACCTGAAGAGCACAAAGAGATAGATTGAGATGGAATTTCACATAGGGCAAATCGACACGAACCTCATAGTTACCATCCCAGTTATTGTAAAGCACAATGTCGGGCACCCAAATGTGCTCGGACGGCACATACAACTGCTCCACGCCGCCGTACTCCTCCGGATCCCAGCGCAGCTTATAGTCAAACCAGCGCTAAAAGCGACATATTATAAGCGGTGCATTTTTATTTACTCGCCTGAATGTTTGCCCACCTGCTTGACCCACAAATTGGTGGTCATCACCTGATTCTTTAGATTGACCTCAATCAGCTGGGACAACTTCAGGCCCAGCCAAACCGTGAGGGTCTCTGTATTGTTCACAACGGGCCGTATCAAGCGATTGTAATTACTCAATAAATCATCATATAGGCGTTTCGTATCCGGATTCGCCTCAAAGCTAACTGGCGCTGTTTGGGCAAAAAAACCGACCAAGCAAATATATACTCTATCAGAAAAATATCCCAAACACAGTTCAAAAACTTCCCAAAACAAAACACTGCGCAGTCGCCGCACTCGCGCCTCTCTCGCTTTCTCACGCACTCTCAGAAGGCGCAACCTTTTAACAGCTGGCCAAGTTTTGAGATACAGCATCCGATTCATCAGGAGTATCGAAATTTCCACATATTTTTTAATCCATGCCTTAACTAACTTACGTGTCGTATTTGCCAAGGGCAGCAGCAGGAAAAACCCCAACCAAAGCCAGCGACACATTTTTCGCTCAAGATTTTTATGCAATACTCCTCAAATTTGTTCACTTAAAAATTATTCCTTTAGAACAAACAATTGCATTTTGTGTTTTCCGTCAAGTATTTGGAGCAAACCTTACGCGTCCAGCTTCCAATCGAAACTGAGCGAAAAGCTCACGAATACTCTTGCCGCAACTAAGTTGAGCGAGTAGAATAAGCGCCAAATGTAATTTAAACATGAAATCAACGAACACGATTTCTATCCATTTTGAAACAATCATCTCTGAAGTTAAATCAGAATCATATGATTGGTTTATGATTGGGGAAACTTATTTTCTACTTGAAGTTAATGATGTTTATCTCTATGTACAAAACTGATTTTCCTGACTGACTGAATGGATGATTGGTAAGTTACCTTTTGAGATGGAGGTGCACCTTAGGGCGGGGTTTCGGGAAATTTTACCCGTGTGTGTGGAAAAATCGCGAAAAACGCGGCCTCAAACTTATTATAAACTGCATTCCTCCTTGGTAAAAGTGGGTGTCAAAGATAAGATGGTTGACTTTTCGCGCTCAAATTCATTTTCAAAGATATGTGTGAAAAATAATATGAGGCGTGTTTCACAGATTTCCCATCCTCGGTAAAAATTGAACTTTTCGTTCTTTTTCCGGTTTCCAAAGGCTTACATAAAATCTTAATAAACACGTGTTTCAGGGATTTGGCAAATTCCACCCGCAACAGTGGTAAATTGGAGAAAAACGGTTCTATAAAAGTTTTTGCTTTCCATCCGATCGGCTACAAAAATATTTTCTAAGGTTTTTGTCTAAACTCATCTGATGGGTATTTCGCACTTTTTGGGAAATTCAAAAGATTTGGTGGCTGTCGTGTTGCCCTCAAATTCATTTCCATGGATCTATGTAAACAAGTAAGAGTTTCTAGTCTGGAGCTCCTGACTAGGGGATACCCTGGACCCTCTTATTCGAACACCAAATGCAGCTCGCTCTACGCGTTTGAAATTCTTGTAATTTAAATTAACTGCCGCAAACACGTGGGCGGCCAAAACACATTTTCTTTTGTGTTTCTTTACCGATCTTTATAAAATGTTCAACAGTAGATCTTATTGTATTATAACATATTCGCGTATTCTCAAAATGACAATTGCATTTCAATATGTGGCTTATATTTGTGGGCAGCATAAATTGGTTGAATTACTTGTTTATAGCTATGTGGCAGTTGCGGGGAGGTGGTGTTAGATATAAAATGAAAGATACTATATATATATATATATATATATATATATATATTACTTACTATTCTAGAAGCTACAAGTCAAGTTTGGTGACTCTAGCTATAATATAATATATTTACCAAAATTGTTCAAAAACCAGGATTTCGATATGAGATTATCATTTATTAAGATTTTGACATACGTTCTGAAACTTACAAGTTTTACTGCAGTTTTTTAAGCTAGTTCACAAAATCTGTGGGTAAGATCCATTATATTACATTTTAAAGAAAGAGACAATACATTTCCGATTTAATTTCAGTTACGGACACAGTTTTTAAGTCAGTTTAAGGGCACTATTACTACACTACTTTTTATTATACTCATTTTCAGCTAATAGAACATGTTTCGACCAGCTAGCTCCACTTACACAGTTTAGGAATCACTGTTAGTTTACTCCTTGCTGATAGGGCCAAAGATTTTCCGAACGATCTAACCTTACTTGCGGTAACAGTCTTAAGTCAATTTTACAGCTTTAAAGATACTAATACAATATAATACTCAGCAGGACTCCTTTTCACCTACTTCCAGCTGATGGAGGCAAGCATTCTTCAACCAACACACCGTTTTCTTAAAGTTTCTGTTACAATTTTAAAAACACTGGCTCGCAAAGTCTTTCTATCCAGCTATTTTTAGTTGATAGAGCAAACATTTTTCCACCTTAGAAGCGATGTTAACGCTTTATGGGCCCAGAGTCCATTTCAATTAAAGCATATCAGGCAGAATTGTTCTCTTTATTAACTCGATGATTGGCATTTGGCTGCAACGTTGACTAACGCACCCCTTGCATGAGTGTTAGCCAAGTTCTCAACCAGCTGACAGCGTCAGGGCGGCGAACTGTCAGCGGTCGCCTAGCAACTCCATCGCGTTGACATCAACAAATAAATAAACAAACGGAAAAGAAATTGGAGCAGGCACTTGAAGTGAGTCGGCAGCTGCCTGAAAATACTTGGAATTGTTTGTGGAGAGGACGACATAAACAACTTTCGCTTTCAGCGGACCCCAAAAAATGGGTTACAAGGGCAACTTTCCGCAGATGATGCGAGAGGCGGGCTTTAAGCTGCGCCAGTACCGGGACGGGCCTTTGGATTGGCGACTAATGGGTAATTTGAGATGGAAAAATTCAAAAATGTCAAGTGAAAACTGTACTGTTCGTCAGGTTCCTATGAAACGGATCGAATTCTGCGTGAACAGAACTTGGAAGTGGTGGACGATGCACTGCAGCATTTATCCGAGGCACCACTGGGCACAGTGCTGGAGACACGCATTCTAGACGGCGGCATAGCCAAGTACTTTGTAATGTCGCAATATGCCATCCAGTATCTACTTTGCTGTCGCACCTACCTAGATGAGAGCGTCGGAGAGCTGCGCGAGGCGCACGAAACGGCCCAACAGGAAATTGCCAAGCTACGCAAATCGCTCAGCGAGTCGAACAACGAGGTGGTGCAGCTGCACAAGAGGATCACCCAAATCGAGACCATACGCGAGGTAGTCTTTCCCTGTCACCTGTGCACCAAAAATTTCATAAGCAACGAGGCTCTCAATATACACATTGGCCGAAAGCATCGGGTAGGCACACCCACCACCAGCCTGGCTGGCGGTGTTTCTGCGAAGGACAAGGACAACGACATGCAGCTAATAAATGCCATAAAAATGGAACTGGAGATCAAGCAGCTGAAGGAGCGCCTCAATGCAGCCGAGCGCAACATAAAGGAGCGCAGTGGCAGCTCTAAGCTCCTTGCTAGCCCACGTCGGGATCAGGCAACAGCTACGATGAGCATGCGTAATGTGGGCATTCAAAGCAATTTGGCGGACTATAAGGAAAAGGATGAGCTCAGCAGTGAGGCGCTGAACTCTGAGGCTGGTGAGCGCAAGGAGCAGCTCCATGGCCTGGCCGAACGTCTCAGTAACTTTGAGGCGTGGCAGACGCAGCTCAAGCAGAGCAACGAGGAATTTATCAGGGACATTAACCAAAAGCTCACAGACCTAAGCCTGGCAATGGAGCAGACCAAGCAAGATGCAGAAGCAAAAGTCACGACTGTAACGCCAGTACCTGCCGAGGAGCGTGTGGCCACCCCTTCCCTGGAGGATTTGGAGCGCATACTCACCGATAAAGTGGCCGAAATAGGCAAAGTCAGCGCTACTAAGCTGGAGGAGGTGGTGCGGCACCTGGAAATGGGCTACAAAGAGAAACTTGAAGCACTGGAGCGCGACCTGAAAAGTCTGAGCCAACAGAAGGAGCCCGCCATTGTAGTGCAGCCACCAGCAAACCCATCGAAAATACCCAAGCCCAAACCATTGCCGAAAAAAGAGGAAAGCATGGAGCGTATTAAACGGAAGGTGGAAACGGAGTTTCTCAAAACAAAACGTGATGATGACACCTATTCCATAGAAGAGCCACCAGTTCAGTCGACGCAGCAGCAGGGGCAGCAGAAGCAGCATGCGGTGACCCATGTGCAAGAGCAGCCCAGTGGCAACAGCTCGGGTAGCCATCCGACCTACACAAAGCCTACAGCTGAGCCTTTTAGAAACGAACCAGAGCCCAAGCCCAGCACTAGCCAGACCGAGACGCAGGAAACCACCGACATAAGCGAAAGCCTCGCCGAAGAGGAGAGCGTCAGCGATGAAGGCAGTGAGCTTTTGACTTCCGAGCCGGAAAGAAAAGTGTTCATGTCGCCAAAAAGCAAAGCTACCCAAAAAGCAAGGTAAGTAATTGATTCGAGTCAACAGTTGGCCATAATTTCAGAAATTCCGATTGGTTCTAGAGTTCCGCCAAAGCCGCCGAAGCCGTTGACGCGCAAGGATGCTCGCAAGCTGGTTAACCTCAAGCTAAATCCGCATGGATTTAATATGAAAACAAAGGGTTTATCCAACACATCGCTGAAGCGTGTCAGCGCCGAGCTAGCACAGCACCGTAATAGGCTGAAATTGGTAGAATATATATTAAATAAGTCTCAAGCAACAAATATGATACGCAACCTTTTACAGGACTATCCTCATTTCTATACCACGCGCAATCGCATACGCATATTCGTGGAAAAGCTTTGCTCCGCCAAGATGCCAGAGCGTGCTCAGGTTCTGTTGAAAACCAAGACGCCGCTGCAGCCAATGGATGTGCCCAAACGTCGAACCGGCTTGCTAGCAACCACAGACGATGATGACGAGGAAAATGATGCTAGTGAACGGACATCAGTATCACAGGAGGATGAGGATGTGGATGAGGCGTCAACTACAAGCTCCAAGCCACAGAGACAAGAGCAACATTTAAATTTCAAGGCTCAATTAGAGCAAATGCTGGCCAAGCCTGTGGCTCAAGTAATTGCCAAGCCCAAGCTTGGCCAAACGCAACAAGCAAAACCTATGCCGCTTCCCCGTAAGCGCGTTATGTTCAATACGCTGGGCAGCGGCAAAAGTATTGATACCAATGAAGAATAAGTCAAATACGAAAAATACATAATTATTGTCAATAAAAAGAAAAAATTAATTATATTTTTTTTTAAATAGCCTCAAGCTGCCACTTGCGCGGGTCATGCAGTATGGCAACGCTATTTTAGTGGCAACTGGAAAACCGCCACATATCGATGTCTGCACTTGCAGCTTATCGATACACATACGCGGCGAATTTAGATTGCGATGCGGCGAAGTGTGGTTGCGCGAAAAAATTTCTTGACGTCGCAAATATCTACAATAACTTGCAATAAATGCTTTAAAACGCAGTCAAACAGCACGCAAAACAGTGACAAACGCTGAACGTACATGGCGTAATAGCTAAAGTATTGAAAATCCGTAGCAGTAGTTCAAAGCAGCGCTGCTAATTTATATTACCTGACGACGACTTCACACACACTCCCACACACATATATACACACAAACGCACAAATTGCCCTCCGCCCCCTGCTACCCGCGCACACATCGATGAAATAATATACATAACGTATACCGAAAATACATAAGCTTACGCTAAAATAACGGAGCCATCAGTAGCAATCGTAGCGGACTCAGGTAAACAGATAAGAAAACAGACGGAGCCACATACATAGGTACAGGTATCAGCTCCCGCAGCAGCAGCAGCAACAACAACAACAACAGCAACAGTAGCAGTAGCAGTGTGGAGGAGAGTCGCAGTAAAACATGTCCGACATCATGAATATTGACAGCATTATCTCGCGTCTGCTGGAAGGTAAATTTCTCCCACCGCCCCATAAACCCAACTCCACACCTCATCTAAATGTTTCAAATGTTTCTGTCTGTTTATTTCCAGTGCGTGGTGCACGTCCTGGCAAAAATGTGCAGTTATCGGAGAGTGAAATACGGAGTTTATGCTTGAAATCGCGTGAAATATTCCTATCACAGCCCATACTATTGGAACTGGAGGCTCCGCTCAAGATATGCGGTGACATACACGGACAATATTACGATCTATTGCGTTTGTTTGAATACGGCGGTTTCCCGCCCGAATCGAATTATCTATTCCTTGGCGATTATGTGGATCGTGGCAAACAATCTCTGGAGACGATATGCCTCTTGTTGGCATATAAAATCAAATATTCAGAGAATTTTTTTTTGCTGCGCGGCAATCACGAATGCGCCAGCATCAATCGCATCTACGGGTGAGTTCAGATTCAGATTGCCAAATGTTATTTATTAGAATTGTAAAAAGGTCCAAATACATTTGTTTAACGTCGATCTTCAAATAGGTCGATTAACAATTCTTTTAAGAGTACTTTAGTTAAACACGTTTATGTGATATATATCGCAAAATTCAGTTTCCAAAGCTCAAAGGCTAATCTGAACGTCCTAGCATGCCGATCGATTACTAGTACTACTTGAATAATCTAGAATCCTCACTATATATCCCAGTTAGTCGCTAGATTCAGTTTTCAATTTGGACTCAAATCCACAAGTGACAGCTGTTCTTATGTATTGTCGTGATATGCGCTAATCGGAAATGGCCTTTCGTGAGAAACGCTCCAGCATTTTAGCACGCACTATTTTCTTAAATGTCATGTCTATTGTTCATGTAACTTTAACGTTGACAGGTTCTATGATGAATGCAAGCGACGTTATACCATAAAGCTGTGGAAAACATTTACGGATTGCTTTAACTGCCTGCCTGTGGCGGCAATTGTGGATGAAAAAATATTTTGCTGTCACGGCGGCCTGAGTCCCGATTTGTCCTCAATGGAACAAATCCGACGCATTATGCGGCCAACGGACGTGCCAGATCAGGGCCTGCTTTGCGATCTCTTGTGGTCGGACCCCGACAAGGATACCATGGGTTGGGGCGAAAATGATCGCGGTGTAAGCTTCACGTTTGGAGCAGAGGTAACTAAAGAAATACTGATACTAATAAGTAGCTGAATAACAAATCTTCATTTATTTTTAATAAGGTTGTGGGCAAATTTCTACAGAAGCATGAATTCGACCTAATATGTCGTGCACATCAGGTTGTGGAGGATGGTTACGAGTTCTTTGCCAAGCGCCAGCTGGTTACGCTCTTCTCGGCGCCCAACTACTGCGGTGAATTTGACAATGCGGGTGAGTGATCACTGTGCAGTGAGGGAGAGGTTGCACGTGCACGTGCCAGCCCTGGACTTTAAACAGCAACAACGTGGGTGTTATCTCTGTAGGGGAATTGTTAAGACGAGCAAATACTGTGGTATACTATATAACATGCATAGATAACTTAAAGATTAACACAGATTTTTGAGATAACCTTGCGGGCAGAGCAACACAATTGCGAAGTTTCAAGTAAATAGGCTCATAGTTCAGTTACACGTAAAAGTTAGTATAGGGCGAATTCAGGAGATGATATAACGAATAGAAAATTAAATAACCTACTCGTGATCAGCAATAGGAAATTACTTTGAATTTGTGTCACGGCATTTTTAACGTATTAAAGAAATTGTTTCTCCAACCAATTAAGTATAATATATATTTTAGTAGAAGCTTCATATGTCGAGTTTGTTTTGGATTAAACTAGTCTTCTTTTAAGTTATTTCATATATCGGAGTCGACCATTCCAGACAAACTATATCATCTAGCAGGCATGGGAACGAAAATACATCTTTTTATTAGCGATTTTTGTATGTTTTCAACATTGGATTACTTTTTTGTAAATCTTTTATAGGCAATCGCATAAAACATAATTTACAAAATTGACAACATTTTAGCTCTCAAGATTTCTCAACGAATCTCAGCAATGGCAAATTTCAAATAGTTTCTTACATAAAACAAAAAAAATAGGTTGAATTTATTGTATAATTTCCATATAAAAAACGTGTGTTAGATTATAATTTATTTATTTATCTTCGGCACCCTGTTACCGTTGTTGGTTTTGCTAGACGATAAGGCGAGTAAATTTTCATCATGAAACAATCGTATTCAATACATTTGATGCCATCCTTCTAACATAAACAATATCTTAAGTGAGAATCACATTCTCAAATATCAAACTGATGTCGCGAGCAACCTTTTCGATTTATGCTTGGAGAACTAATACTAAACAAAACTTTATTATTAACGGTATTCAAGTTACACTACGTAAATGCTTACTGTCATATGATATGTTATTTATACAAATTTTGTTTACTTCATAGGTGCCATGATGTCCGTAGATGACACATTGATGTGCTCCTTTCAGATATTGAAACCCGCCGATAAGCGACGATTTGTTTATCCAAACTTTGGCAGCTCAGGGCGTCCGCTAACACCGCCCCGCGGCGCAAACAACAAGAATAAGAAAAAATAAGCGGCACACAAAAAACAGCAACAATAATTTACATCAACAAAAAACAGCAACAAAAACGGCCACACAAAAAAACCAATTTAATACGCAAGTGTTTGTTTTTATCGAATATGTGTAATCGAATCGTGAGCAACGTTATAAGGATATAAAAAATGCATATAAATTAGCCTATTTTCATTTGAAAAGTACTAAAAACCAACACCCCCATACACACACACACATACACAAATGAGACACTTTAGTTCAAACTAATTGTAGTGTTAAACACTGCATAAGCAAGAATATATCTTAATGTATTAATTTTGTTTTGTTATAGTTTTTCCTTGCGCGATGCGAACACAAATACCGAAACTCAAAACCACACACACACACACACACACACACACACACACAGAAACTTACGTTAGGTATGAAAAGTGCACACACACCAGTTGTATTTATTGCATATTTATCTCGCACAGCATTTTTCGGTTCTTTGCATAGCACAACAACCAAGCATAGGATTCTTTCCTTTATATTGTAATATTTTTTTAATATAGCAAATGGTAAAATGTTATTTTTTATAATTATTTTGAATTTTAATCTACACTTTTGATATGTGTGTGAGTTGAATACATATGCATTGTAAAAGTATGTACGTATTTTTAGCGCGATATATATATGTACATAATATATATATATATATATATATATATCATTTTTTAAACTATTATTCATCATTAAAATTCTACTACATGTTTACTTAGTTTTAAAGCAAGCAAATTTAGCTCGAAAGTACATAAGTTTGAATTGTTTACACCAAAAATATTAAAATAAACAAAAATGTGTATATTTTTAAATTGTATGCGTTGACGATTTAATATGTAACACACAAAACGTGCATACCAAGAAAATTACAAATGAAATCTACAAAAATAAAAAAACTACAATAACTATACTTAAATTAACGATAAAATCAATTGCAAACAATAAAGCAAAAATACAATACATTGCTAAACAAGGCAACACAAATTTCTATCCAAAAGTTGAACAGCTCGTTGAGAGCAGCATTCTTTTGAGTGGCACTGTGTGCCCTCTGCTGACGTCAACGACGCGGCAGATAAGGTTACAAGCAGGAACTACAATTAAAAAAAAATGATGTATGCATATAGAAATACATATATAACAATATTGATATATGTGTGTATTGAATAAAATTGTAAACATGTGAAACACACAAATAGATACATGCACTGTGTACACACGTTTTTGTGCTTGTAATTGTATTTTGTGACTACAGTCGGTACATTCTAGTGCTAAAGGCCGCCACATTCAAGTATTATACTTATTATATGCATGCACGTATGTCCAGACAAGCGATCAGACCCATTCCAAACAAGGATACGCAGTTCTAAAGATCACTTGCCTTGGCGTAATTAGCCCCAATAATGGTTTCGTTTGTATAATCCCCCCGCCCGTAACAATCGCGTAAACAAACCGAGTTTTCAAAATGAATGTCCAACTGCAGCCTAAACTCCCTTGTCGAAACCACTCTAGTACTCTGTTTAATGTTGTATTGAATTCTACGTACATACAAATATGTAAAACAAAACATAAAACTCAAGAAAAAAAGTAAAAAAATATTAAATATTATAGTTGATATTGGCTGTTTTACAAAAAACAAAAAACAAAAAAAAAAACAAACAAACTTAAAGATGTAATGTAATATCAAAAATTGCGTCAAACAGCTACAAACAAGAAACTCTAAAAAAGAACAAAAGTAATAAATAACTTGTAACTAATTTTTGAAAATTTGAAAAGACAACTATGGAAAATGAGAATAAAATTAAAAGTTAAAAACAGCGAAAAAAAAAGCAAATAAAAACATGAGGCACTTGTAACAAAATAGCACAGTTTTATTAAATGAAAAATGAAATACATATTGAATGAAAAATGAAATACATATTAGCAATAAAAATGATTATCATCGTGTGGTTTTAACTAGAAAACGGTCGAGCAATGGTAAATGATATGTGGCTTTTAATTAATGACTTTGTTTGATTGATTCATTAACTTAAGTTTTATGATTGAATAGAATTGTTTATTATTACGACAGAACTTTTTTATAATGAACGTCACATGATTTAACTTCAGATATGGTTAAGAAGCAGTTTTTTATGACTATATTCCTCATTAACTAACTAACAAAGGTATCTCATCTCTTTTGAATAAGCTCTTAAGAAGTTTTAGTGTATAAATGGAGCTTATCTCTATATATAAAACTGTTTGTCCTGACTGACTGACTGATTGGTGATCAACGCACAGCCCATACCGTAAGAGCTAGGAAGCTGAAATTTTCAACTTAGTTACCTTATGTAGTGTATTAGGAGTGTGGAAAAATCGCGAAAAACTTTGGTATAAAACTTTTTTGTTTACCATCCGATCGGCATCAAATTTATTTTTAAATTGTTCGTTGAAATTCATTTAAAAGGTGTTTCACACTTTTCAAAAAATTCATTCCTCCTTGATGGAACTCGTAATGAATACGTGTTTCCGCTATTTGGCGAATTCCACCCGTAACAGTGGTAAATTGACGTAAAACGGTTGTATGAAAGTTTTTTTCCTTACCATCCGTTCGGCTGCAAAAAGATCTTTGTCAAAATTCATCTGATGGATATTTTGCAATCCATCCCTCCTTGGTGGAAATGGGGGTCAAAGATTTGGAGGCTGGCGTTTCGCGCTCAAACTCATTTCCATGGACATAAAAATCATTTGATTCGTGTTTCACATGGCAAAGTCAAAACTTTTACAGTGGAAAGTGCAATTAAAAAATTTGTTTGGTGATGTTTAAAATTTTTGCGATTTGCTTGAAACTTATTTTAAAAGCTCTACATAGGATCTTAACGAATACCTTTTTCAGCTATTTGGGGAATTCCACCCGCAACAGTGGTAAATTGGCGTTTGCTTACCGTCCGATCAGTGTCAAACACATTTATAAAGCTGTTTCGAGAATTTATTTGATATGTGTCACGGGCAAGGTAATATTATATATCCCAAAGCTCTTAGATTAATGAAATATTTTAATCGTGTACTTTTGAAGAATTTTATTTAATTAGATCAAAAAATTCTGCGAGTACTAATAACACGCTCCGTAAATCTATAGATATTTTACCCATGCAAGTAAGTATATATATATATAGATGTGTATAATTATGTCATATGCATTCCTATAATATTCAGTTGCTACCCAAGTCAACATTGCCACATCAGAAGATCCAACTGGACCTACCCAGCTGTAAGCTTATCAGTTGAAAAGCAGTCCTTAAACTCTGCCTTAACAATATTTATTTATATAAATTATACATAAATTGCTTTGTTTTATTTAATACTAGAATTTACTATTTACGACAACGTGTCGCTGCGGTCAATTATATCTCAGGGCACAGCTGCGCTCCAACGGTGCGCAAGGGGCTCCACAGCCTCTGCCGGTTGCCTCCTCCTCTTGTAGTCGCAGCTGCAAGAGCTTCTGACGCAGGGCATAAGGCGTCGGACCTGCCGATGTCATTGCCTTCACGGTCTGCTGCCTGCATTCGTTGGCTTTGTTCTTCTGCCTCTTCACATTGTCAGCCACGCCTAGTTTGTCGTAGGCGTGCTGTAGACGCAGTTCATCCTGTCTCTGGGCACTGAAACATTCGCTGGCATTGAGAAGCCTGAATTGTTGTAACGACTGGAGGCGCTGCAGTTCGTCAACGCCTTCCGGTGTGGGGTTGGGCAAAGTTGAGGGAGTCTCTGTGCTCCTACCTTGAACCTGACCCTGACCTTCAGTTGCTATGCGGCTGACGGCGCAGGCGCGCTGCTCGTAGAGGCGTCGGTTATCGGTGTGCTCGCAATGGGCGTTATTATTATTGGACCCGTTGCTATTCCGGTACTCGCCGACACCCCAACTTAGCACCTTGACGCGACTGTCGCGCTGTTGTTGTTGTAGGGCGCCGCACCCACTAGAGCTGCAGCAGCTGGAACAGTGGCTTAATGTTGTCGTTGCGGAATTGCGTCTGCTAAAATTACGGCTCAGCTCGCTTTTGGAGTGGCCCAAGCCCATCTCGTTATTCCTTTTCAGATTGATCTGCTTAACAAACTGCGTCGGTCGCATGCTCTGCCTGGATGATGACGTCAACGATAAGAGATCAGTGCGTAGCGGTTGCTGCTGCTGCTGCAGTCTGCTAACGTGGCTCGTTGACTTCAAGATGCTGCTGCCCGTGCCCGCAAAGCTACCACCGCTGTGACCACAATAGCACCTATGCATTTCGGTAGTTGTCTTTGATTTTCCTTTGTTTTGTAACAAGTATTTGGTATTTGGCCCCAAAAAACAGACTGTGTGCCCGTAGAATGTTGAGCGACGACTGTTGAGCGGAGGGGCAACCGGTTTGAACGCACAATAAACACCTCAACACCAGCGGCCAGTGTTCCCATGCCCAACAACGTTGCCTGGTCTGGCCGCCGGCATCGTTTGTTTATGTTTCAACAACAGTTGCGACAGTTTCCATAGACACACGCCGAACTGAGGTCCTCGAGCTGCTGTTTTTGGCAAACGAATGACTTAGGCAACAAACTTAAATTATGGCCTTTTAGTGGTGTCTTGCGTTAGCGACTAGAACTAATTGCTAAGGCCATTAATAAAGTACCAGCAATAAAGAAAAAAATATTCCATACTCTTTAAGCAGCGCTCCGAATAATGTTGTACAATATAGTATTTAATATTTTATAAACGAAGACTTGCTGGGGTGGTCACATAAAAATACCCTTTATATCGTTAACAACATTGGCAGCATATGTAAAAATAAAATGATCTTTGTAACGCGATCATCAAATTTAATTATTATCCCAGGCATTTGAACATTTATCTTAAAGGTTACTATGACAGCTAATATAACTTAATACTACTGTACACATTTTTGTTTATAATATATACTATTTTATAATTATATTTGCTGCTGTGCGATTTCCTTGACTCAAGATAAACTCTCATGATTATGATGAAATTAAATATGATTAAAAACTAGATTTGTTTATGAAAATAGTGTTTTTTTAATAGGTTCTTTTTTTATACTAAAAAGCTTTCTGGTTTCAAGCTCCGCTTGAGGTAGTAAATAAAAGGCTTACCAGATTAAGAGGTCCGCAACTTTTGTGGTTTTTAAAACCACCCTTTTAGCAAATATATAACCCAATTTTGTTTACTACCGGCAATTTTAATAGCACTCCAATTAAATTTAAAACTCCGCCTCTGCATACAGGAGTGCGTAAGAGGTTCAATGAACCACAACGTAAATGGAAAGGGCATTACAGGGTTGCTGGATTACCGGTCAACGTTCGACACCCGTTTCCACAGCATTTATATGCAACGAGAGCGAGCCGACTCTGCTGCAACATCATGATCATGAATGGGTAATGTTGTATTGGTTGCATCGCCCAAAGCGGTCAGGCGGAAAGCAAAAGTTGCCGCATGTGGCGTTCATATGTATGTGCATGTTTATGGGCCAAAGCTCGGCTTGATGCTTATTCAAACTTCATAATAAGTTCGCCCGCTGCGCAGGAAGCTTTTGCAAGCCGGCGTCGCTGCATGCGCGCCGAAGCTTCGTATATAACTCGGACGCTTGGAGCATCCCGCGTCCATTACGTTGTGATAAGTCGTCGTGAAGAGACAAAGCCCGCAGCAGCTGCAACCGATTCGCTCTTCGTGTGCATGTGCGTGTGTGTTCGCTTGTGTGTGTAAATTAGAGTCTTCAGTTGAGGAAACTCCATATTGGCAATATATTTCGCATATCACATCCGATTTCGAGCGGCATCATGTCAAAACGGCCGACAGTTATATTGCTGCTGCTAATCGCTGCGGTTGCGCAGGAGACCGCAAAATGTGTAACGGCCGCGCAAGATTTGCGTAAGTAACTTTAGCAGCAACATTAACAGTAACAAAAACAATAACAGTAAGTGCAAATTGCTTGCGGCTTGTGATTTCGTTGGCGGTGCTTTTATTATTTGCGCATTAGGTTTGGGCTTTGCCTTTGGCTTTGGCTGCTTTTGGGCCCACCAGCGCTGTTTATGGCCAAAACGTGATCAATATTGTTTATGTATGGCTAGTTTATTTTGGCTACCGGCCCGAAGGTCGCGCTCATTGTAATGTCTTCTAATGGGCCGACAGGGTGACAAGTAGGGCATGCAAAATCCATGGCCCATCGATATGCATCGCGCTGCAATTGCATCGATAGGCGCCAATGGAATTGTTATGCAATCGAAACAGGTTGACAACATAATGGCATATCGTTATCGGCAAACGGGTTTGCAATCAGTCAGTCAGTCAGTCAGCGGACCAGACCACTTCCGCTTGCTATGACACATATTTTAAGCCTTGCTATGCACGCGTAGTGTTAGGTATCATCGCTTTGTTGCCGTAGGTCATGAGTGGCTTTGTTTCTCGCTACATCTTTGTGATAAATACATAGGCAGGCGCGCTTTGACTTGACATTGAGAGACCCATGAATATGCTGGCTCATTTGTTGTTTTGTTGCTTCATTTAAGACTTTGTTGGAAACTTGTTTTGTGGCCAACGAACTCTATCTGAAGTACTTGCAGTCATTGGGCGCTCGTTGATTTTATGTTGGCACAATTACACACTTCCAGGCGCGGCACTTCCGCAAACAGTTTCAATGTCATGATCAAACTCATTAAAATATATATTTTGATTTCAGCCGACAACTTCCCCAAATGCAAACGCGATGCAAACTTTGACAAGTGTCTGGTGGACGCTGTTAACCAGGCCATACAATTGCTCAAAAGTGGTAAGTACAGATACCTATTCAAATCTATGCCTTCCAAATAGATGCTCCTTGACTGCCAAACTAATTTAACTATTGACAGGCAATAAAGAACTCGGCATTCCGCCACTAGAGCCGCTGACCGTGAAGAAACTAGTTATAGATGCCGGTAATGCGCCTATAAATCTTCGTCAAGCCTTGAAAAATGTGAAGGTGCATGATATGATCTCGACTAGCAAGATCCAACGCTATAGGTAATTAACAGATTGCCGACAATTTCGACCCAATAACAAATCTCGATTCCCTTCCTCTTTCAGAACCGATTTGGATAAGCATTTAATTATCTGTGATAGTAAAACCGACCGCATTGAGATGATAGGCGACTATGAAATGTCTGGTCGCATTTTACTGCTGCCTATTACTGGCCATGGCAAAGCCAATATTACACTTGTCAATACCAAAATCGAGCACCGTCTGATTGGGGAACCCTTTGAAAAGGATGGTGTTAAGTACATGCGACTGAAGGAGTACCGTGTTGCCATGGATCCTAAGCGCGTTTATTTACATTTTGAAAACCTCTTTAATGATAAAACTCTGTCTGAGGGAATGAATCGCTTCCTGAATGAAAACTGGGAGACGGTCTTCAACGAATTGAAGGTTGGCTACTCCAAAAGCTTTGGTCTGGTATTCCGAGAGCTCTCGAATAAAATATTTGAGAAAGTACCCTTTGATAATATATTTTTAAGTTAATTTTGATAAGTGATTGTCAATTATGTCTCTAACTTATGTATTTTATAAATTAATTAATAAATTGTAGTAAACGGTTTTATGTTGTGAAAAAATTTTATTTTAATTCAAATCGGAAATTATCGATAATTGTATTCCCCATAATCAAGGTTTTTCTCGAATTGCCTAAGAATTTTAAATTTAAATTGGATACTTTAATCCTCTTACAGCACTTTTGGTTTTAGATATAACGAATTTTTTAAATTAAATATATATTTGCGCCTCTTTTTGAATCGATATATTCATACTATCGCTGCATTACGATGAATCGGACGCTTTACCACACCTAATCTTGCAGTTTTGGCACTTTCTATGCGCAAAAATATTCCTATTTGTTTAAACAATTAACCTAATATTTCTGCAGAGTGCAACGTTGCACCTGCCTGCATGGCAGAGAAAATGACTAGCATGGACGGCACAGTGCCGGAGGCCAAGTATCACAAACTGGCGAGTGAATACTCAAAGGTAACGCAAACAGCAACAGTTTACGCCCCATTCGCAAGCGCATTAATCTAATTTAATCCACATCCGCCCACGCACATAGCTGCGCGCCCAAGCGCAAGTGTTGAAGAAAGCTGTGCTAGATGAGCAAGCGAAGGAGGCGAGCCTGCGCGAGCAACTGCAACAGAACGCAACATCGCTGAGACGAACAGAGCAGGAGGTGGACTCGCTTGGTTTTCGCAACAAACAGCTGGAATCGCGGGTCTCGCAGCTGCAGCAGGAACTAGCCGTGCACGACCAGGCGCATAAGAAAAAGGAGCCAATCAGGCGCGCGCTTTTGGGTGGCAGCAAACCAGAGCCACAGAGTGAAGCCGCAAACTTAAACGCAGCGCAAGAAGCGCTTATATTCGAGGAGCTGCAGAAAAAAATAATGGAAAACGCACAGCTAACATCATTGGTAATTTTGGCAAAGCACATATTTACACCCACGCACAAGCCCTTACGTACAATAATTGTATAACAATTGCCACCCGCAGATAGATGATAGGCAACGCGACTTGTTGCTGCACACAGAGCGCATTTCAGAACTGGAACAGAAGCTGGAGAGACGAATTGCTGACCAGAACGAATTGGAGAAACGGCTTCGCAAAGAGGTAGAAACGCTGCAGCAAAGAAATTGTGAACTCGAAACAAAGTTGGTAGATGCTGCTAGCATGGTGAGGTGTTAAGAAAAAAACCTCCTTAAAATAGTTAGAGCTTTATTCTTGTGGTTACAGCTTGGCAGTGAAGATGCTTTGAGCGCCACTGGCAGTGATAGCACCCCGCTGCACAATCCCCAGCAGCAGCAGCAGCACCAGCTTAACACCAACTTGGCCTTAACGCTCACTGCCGAAGAACGCATTGCGCTACTGGAAAAGGAGGCGGCGCACTGGCGAGCCCAGTACGAGGTGACGAAACTTCATCAGAGCATAAACTCGAACACGAACGTGGATCTCAGCAAAACAGTCGATGCCAGCAGTATTTGTAGCTGTAGCACAGCTGCAGCGGGCATCACCGTGAAACCATGCTGCCTAGAAAATAAGAGCGGACAGCGTGTGCGCGATTCGCTGCAGGAACCGCCAGAGCCACCTACCAAGGAGCAACTTATATACAGCGTGTTTAGCAAAAGGTACGAAGATTTATTGCGACTGAAGGCTCTGGCCGAGTCGCGTCTGCGCTCATTTGAACAGGAGGCATTACATTTGCAAATCTGTCTGGAAAATGCAACGCAAGAACTGAAAGCCAAGGACGAGCAGTTGTCCAGCCTAGGCGGTGCACTGCAGATGCTCGAGGAGGAACTGGTAAGCGAGCCACATACTGCCTGTTATTGGCACTAAATTTAAATCCTTACAGACCACGACTCGCATCAACTATGAGGAGCAAATCAGCGTCCTAACGGAGCAAGTGATAAGCTTAAGCGAACAACTGGCTGCTTGCAAATGAATGTCTGCCTGTCGCACTGCTTTATATTGTATATTATTTAAAAATGACCCGGCCACTGTCCAACTTAGCAACTGGCTATGTTACTACTGCCCTGTTGCCGGCTTATTGGTTATTGGATTATCGTGTTTTCCGGGCTAGAATACTATTAAGGGGAACGATAACTAGCGCTTAAAACCTGTACATGACCGATGAACCGGAAACCCATTGACCAACCAGCTGATTAAGGGGCAGCATACCCTTTTTATAGATTCATGATCGGTGCAGTGTGTATATACATACCTGAACATATAAATTTATATCTGTATGTTTGAATATTTCGCTAAAGTTTAACAAGCAACGTATAACATAATTATTATTTACAATTTAACTGAGAACGACGAGCCACAGGAGCAGCCCTGCTCGGCCAGCGGATTGGCAACCATGCGAAACCCAGCTCTTATAAGCTCGCTTTGGTAGTCTACGGTAGCACCATTGCAGTAGTCCAGCGAGACTGTATCAATCACGACTTTTGCCTGCTCCTCTCCAAACTGTAGGTCATCCTCATTCAGCTTGTTGTCTAAATCAAATTTGTATTGAAATCCAGAACAACCGCCGCCCTCAACAGTAACGCGCAAAAAAGAACCATCATTGCATATCTCACGCAAACGTTTCAAGCAACTTTCGCTTAACTGCAGCTGCTGTTGCGTATTTGTTGTGGTGGCTGGGGCGACATCTTTGACGGCTGGACCCAATTTTGTTGCCGAATAGAACAAATTTCTGTAAAATATAATAATTGCGGACTGTTGCTAAGTTCATTCTTGCTTATAATTACCTTTGCAGCGCAGGTCTTACAAGCTGACGCAACATGAAAGCCATTACGGTAATGTGATAGGCCCAAATAGTAAATTAATTTTGAAGTATACTCTCGTAATCAAAACAAAAGTTGCAACAGCTGTTCTTTTGACGTATGCGATATTTTTGATGCTTCCCTTAATCGATATACTCAGCACAGCAATAATATACCGATACACGCTCGAATACATAACTGTGTGTGCGCTTGCGCTTCTTTTGCTGGCTTGCCGAGGAATTTTGAACGTTGGCTTTTGATTTTGTAGTCAAAAAGTGTTTTTGTTAAGTGTTAGTAAATGTTTTCAGTGTTTAGTACAAGTTTTAACTGATAATGGCGCTAAAGATGACAGTAAATGGTAAAGTTGATGCGAATAGCAAGCAACGCAACCGATTTCTTGCTGATCCCGAGCGTGTTAAAAAAGATCTCGAAAGCGAGCGTCGCATAACTCGTTTACAGCAGGTAAGACGCAGTTACGTTTATAACGCTTACATTGTAAAATTTCGAAATTAAACTTGTTTAGGTGCGTGAGAAATCCAACAGCTTGGCTCGCCACATACGACAAGAGGTGGCTGCAGAGCAAGCGCGTCAGGTTCAAAACCTGGAGCAGATAAAACAAAAGGAGTTAGATACGTGGCGTGAGCATGTTATGGCCAAAAAATACCAGGACTACCGTACCTCTATGTTTCAGGTGGGTGCCGCCCATCGTGCCGCCCAGGCTGAAACCGAAAATAGCGAGCAACAAAAGCAGCTGCGTGCCGAAAAAATGAAAAAGTGTCGTCGCCTCGCTGCAAAGCGTGCTGTAAAGCACACGCCCGCTAATGTGCTGCGTTCCACGGGGGGTAAAGAACTCAATGTGGAGGGACGCGCCACAGCAGGCACACAGACGCCAGTACAAACAGAAGAAAACGGGCATGTGGGTAAAGAGAACAGGTTGTGCAATAAACAAGCCTGTAAAGTTTCGGACAGGCAAAGTTCTTTTAAGCGGAAACGCCACACATGTTGTCAAAGTAATGGCCAAAACGACAACAACGATGAGGTGGAGCTCGAAACGATCTCTGACAGCAGCACTGATGAGCACGAAGCGCAGCCAACTGCAAACGAGGCGACTGGCAGGAGACTGGAAAAGACCCCGCCAGTTATTTTAGATGTGGACATTGAAAGCGAAGATTCGCTCGAGATATGCGCACGCGATGGCATCGAGATAAACGATTTGTATATGCAAACGAATCGTAAATTTAGTCGCGTGGTGCGTCCCACTCCCACAAGTGCCTCTGAGCTACAAAAGCGCTCAGCCGCTGCACCGTCGAATTCTATTCCTTCCCGGCCACGTTTCACCCAAATCACAGACTTGGTACGGCGCACCACAATAGACACAGAAATGTCTTTGGAAAGCACGCAAAGACAGCCGCATGAGCAACAAATTCACATGCCCCGCAGTCCCACAAGGTCCTTGCCTCGTTCACCCAGCAAAACGATGACGGCCGCAGCCCCAGCGGGTTCCTCCAATGTGTCACCTACTAGAACAGTAACAGAGCAACCAATTCCATCAAGTCGTGCACCAACAATACTCCCAGCCGACAGCCGCCGGCAGTCTACGCAGCTGCCAAAGCGTTCCTCATTGAGAAACAACAACAAAGAGTCCGCTCCCGCTAAGGTCATAGATGCTGGTCTCAGATGTAACACGGAATTAGCGCAACCGAAAGCTACAGTGGAAGCATCTACTGCAGCCAGCACCGTGCAGCCAAGAACGGCAAAGCCTATACCAGAGCCGCCTATACATCAGTTGCCCCCCATGCAGCAGATGCCTATGCAACAGGCGCAGATGAATCCACTACCTCCTTTCATACATCCGCATGCTGTGTATGCACCACAGATGATGCCACCTTATGCCATTCTACCTTATCCCATGCAACCATATCCAATGCAAACCGTATGCCAATACGCTCAACAGCCCGCTCCTCCTCAGCAACCGCCCGTGACTACTTCGACCACCAGTACATCTGCAACTCCAGTAAGCACCACTGCCAGCCATTCCACAGTCTCTACCACGACATATGTGATGCGCCAGGCGCAGAGAGGTGAGACGAATACAACTGGACACGTTCAGTTCTATGACCACAATAACAAATATCGTCGCAACTATAAGGCGCCCGCGCAGGCCGTACAAGTCGATCCACAGGATAGCATGCGCCTGAATGCCATGGATAACGCACGCATCGAGACTCAGTTGAGGCAGTTGCGCGAGCAGGAGTTGAATAATTTACGGTAAGGCTGATTACTCTTTTTAAGAAACTGATGTCATCCTTCTTGGTAAGGTTAAAACAATTGAGGGTGGGGAAAGTATTTTAAGAGGACATTTGTAGTTACGAGCTACACAATTCTCCCCACATACCTGTAAAATCCTAAGATGTGCGTTTTCAATTTTTTTAATTTTCGGCTAGCCGAATGTGTGTGTGTTTCTTGTACTATTTATTGACATTCACGACTCTGTTACCACGGCTATCACAATCACATTAAATATATATATTTCCCAATTATTTCGTAGTCAAGTCACCGATCAGCGAGGACAAAAGGCGCTGCAACGCGAGCAGGTGCGTCGCGATTGTGCCGAGTTGACGGAGAAACTGGAAGCATTGACACAGCAGCAGCCCCAGCTGTTGCCCAGTGACGTGAGCTAAAAATAACTTACGGTACCCTTTTACATTGTTTCATTTTTAAATCCTTTTCGAACAGGCAAACTTTGTTCCCAGCCATCGTTTCGCCGACTTGGCGTTGCGACGTGAGCAGAAAATGAACGCGGCAATGGAGGAGATGCTGTTGCGTCCAGCTATTGTTACTTGTCCCGAGGTAACAGTCACCCGGCATACTTCACCCCGCAAGGCAGGAACGCACACCAAATCCAACGTGGTGGAGGCTATCAATGTGGGCGACCCGCCGTCAAACAAGGCAGACGATGTTGTGAGTACCGGCAGCTGCTGCTCCATACTGCTGGACTATGTGAATGATCAGAGCAAGCAGCTGCGCACCGAGCTCAAGAGCATGCATGCCGATACGGCTAAGTCCATTAAATTGAAGAGCTTGCTACAACGCATCGAGAAAATACGGTCACAGCTACTGGCCGAGCTGCAAGCGGGCGAAATGAACGGTGACCATGCACAACAGGTTATCGATTCCATACGAAAGGAACGCGCCAACATACACAGAGGCACAGCACGGAATATAAGCCAGCGTGAGATGGAATTGCAGCAGAAGGAGGAGTTATTGGAGCAACGGCTGCGTCAATTGTACAAGCAGCAGCAAAAAGTCAGTAGTCAGCAGGAACGCAGAAAAAAAGGTGACGATGGTCCCGTAGAGATTATAATCAAGGTGAAGAGCGACGGAACCGTTAAGCATCTTGTGCCCAAGAGTAAGGCTCAGGACAAACCAACCCAAATAGTAGCAAGTGACCAAACCAATAAGCCAACGCCGACGCCAACTACATCTTCGTCTGCGCCCACTGAGGGGGCTCTTACAGCTGTACCATCGCAGGTAGCTGTGCATAATCAGCGGCAGAATTCCATCGATTCCAATTCTACATCGTATCGCGAATTGCCGCCTGTTAACTATAAGAACATTAAGCCTGTAGATTCAGCTCCTCCTCAGCCCGAACCCCTACATCCGATGGTCGCTCACTATGTGCAGCGATTACTTGGAATGTCGCGCAACTCCATTGATCAACTGGGAGCTAGCAGTTCGGAAGTGCCAACGCCTTCGGAATCGATCATCAATAATCCACGAAATATTTCATCTGGCTCCACGGTGAATGAAACACTGATTGACAATCAGCGCGTGGAGCGTGTGCAGGCCTTTATCCGGGACAATCGTAGTTTCGTCAATGAGCTCGAAGACACGCTGCGCAACCAGCAGAAGGAACAGCGACAGCAGCAGGAACAGGAAAAGTTGGATAAGGATCATAGTGAGCGAAGTTTCGATCAGCTCTGGAACAGACGTTGGGCAAACCAGCAGCATCACCAAAAGGACCAGGCACACGTTGGAGATACAGAGCGACCTACTACCAGTAGTCGGGCAACTACTGGAAGACGACCAGGTCCAGTGTCTCTGGAAGAAGTGAGCGCAAAGAGTACAGCACGTTCGTCGGCCAATCAGGCGCCACAACAGGTGAAGCACAATCAGATAACCATTACTGAAGCAACGACCACTACACGCATTACGGAAAAGCAAAGGCAACGATCCGTGGAGCCGCCCAGAACAAGCCTGATAAGCCAATCTCAGGTTACCAGCGAGCAGACTGCAACACGCCAAATGGAGCGTTATGCCCAGCTCACGGAAAACTGCACACAGCGCATTGCGGAGCTAACCGAACTGATAACCAAGGTGCGGGAGGAGAAGCAGCGACTGGTAGAGGTCACGCTGACCTCGGCTAGCGAGGGAGAACGCCATTCCACAGAATACTTTGACTTGCCGCCTTTACACACACAGGAAAAGCCGCAGGAGCAGGTCCGCTCTCGCACAATCTCGGACCGCAGTGATAGCCAGGACACCACGCCATCCCACTCAGAGGCGCTCCCGCTGCAAAAGCACAAACCAACGGGCGCCAGTCTTGATAGCGGCATCTCTATTTCACGCCCAATTACAGCCATGGGCCAGGAGCCGCCCGAGGTGGAGCCCATATCGTTGGCCTCATCCACACAGAGCAACGTGCCGCGCCGTGGTAAAGTGCCGCCTGCCACAATACGTCGTTACAGTCCACAGCTGGCGGCAGAGGAACTGGCTCACGAGCTGTCAACCATTACAGAAGTGGACACACCGGCGCAGTCGCATATTGTGGCTGCAACGCCGGCACCCATGCCCTTTCCCAGCTTCGATCAGTACGCGCAGGAGTTGCAGCTTGATCTGGCACATCTAGAAAAGGATCAAAGCATGCGATTGCAGCGCGAGTTCCATGAACTCATCCAAGCCATCAAGCAACGCGGCCATGGTCTAGACTATCGCGAATTTCCCAGCATCAGTGCCTATTTGCATGAGATTACCACAACGGGGACACATGTACATGTCGAGACGGATCCGCAATCGATGGCACCAAGTGAGCTGTTGCAGCGACTACGGCTGCAAAATGTTAGTATACGTGAATTTCCCAACAGACGCGACTATATACAGCACCGACTGGCACGCGAGCCGCCCGAACAGCGCGAGCTGATTGACAGCGCCAGCCTGGACAGCAGTGATTCCTTTAATGTGGAGGCAGAGCTGCGACAAAGGCGCATACTGAAGGCATCATTCAGGCGTGGGCTAGAAGCGGGCGAGCTACCCGAATTGGAAGTGGCAAGCAGCACGCGTCGCGAAAGCATTCCACCGGAAACCAGCACATATGCGCCCAATGAGAGCGGTATAGAGCCATTTTCCAGGTCGCCGTTGACCATCGAAGTGCAACTGGATATGGAACGCATGAACATGCAGCGACCCGTCAGCATGCGCCAGAGACAGCGCCATGCTGAGCCCCCGAACAGCAGCGTTGGCAGTATGTCACCGGAGCCCCGGCATACCCAGCGGTCTGCGGGCGGAGGTCTGCGCCAAACCTCATCCGGACGGTCTGCGGATGCACCACAGGAGGTCAGCCAAATGGGGCGTTCGCTCAATTTGCGTGAGTTCCTCACCAAAGAGCTGCTGAGGCATCGGGTCCATGGTGGAGAGAGCAGCTCCGAGAGCACAGACGACTCTCTCAAGAGCAACTTTCTGCAATCCGTCATCGATTCGCTGTCACCCAGTTCGCCTCGCACTCCAGCACAGGGCCACGCCACTAATGGCACCAACGACAGACAGAAAACTTCGACGCCTGTTGTCTCGTTTCTCTCCGAGCAGGAAAAGTCCGGCTCGGCACAAAGCCAAGACACGCAGCTGTTCTCGGTCGAGAGTCGCATCTCAGCCGTACACTACGCCGATGGAACACCGCCGGTGCCTTATGAGCAGCAAACGTCAGCTGGTCGCAGCTCACGGACTCCAAAGCCAACAACAACAAATCCTTCATCGCGAAAGTGATGCAAGGCTTTCCCAAATATTCTAGCTAAATTACCATATACATGTTTGTATTGTACCCCAATTATTATTTATAATCCCAACCGTATGAAAATCACGCTATTGTAAAATCGTGACAATGCAATTATTAAGACAATTATTTATGTATATTTTAATAAAATTTAATTAATTTCGCATACAGCTTTCCAGCCAATGTTTCAAGTACAAGAGTTCACAGTGTGATTGTTTTTGTGTTTATTGGATTATATCCGGCCTTGATGTGTAGATTTCTTATACACTAAATATATTTGAAATGCTAACTAACATGTTAAGTGGGTAAAGGAAAAATTCTTAGAGTGCATTATATCAGATATATAAAGTTTGCAGGAGATTTATCTCAAATTACACTTTGTTATCCTGGTTTACTATTGTCTGTTGCAAACAACCCAACAAATGTATGAGTATATAAAATAAATTATTTATATTGAGTTCTTTCAAAATCGTTGGGTATTTCTGATATATCTAAATCTAAGAACTTTACACTTAAACCTTTGATCCTGCAATTAATATACTCTTTAAACTTACTGTAAAATTGCTCCCAAGTACATTGCATTTTTTAAACTTACATATAAGGCAGTACATCTAGATTTTTTAAGTAGTAACCGATACGAGAAATAAGTGACTGACAAATAACGAAAACAAAAAAGTACAAATCCAACAAAGCTTACAAACATGGGACGTTGTTAACAAAGTATATACAAGTAAATCATTTTGGTACGGTTCATGAGTTGTCCTAATTTTTCATACAAATATTATGAAGCTAATTCGGGAAAATTTGAAATTTTCTTAGTTTTTCATAAAGTTTAAATGAATGCATTAACTGGGCCTACATAAAGGGCTGTAATCTTGCTGGATTTTAAATATTTTAAATTAAACGCCAAGTCCTGCATTGAATACATATCGATCAGTTCCAGCACCTAGTCCTCCTGCTGTTCCTCACGTGCTCGCTGCTCCTCACGCTCCTGCTGCATGCGCTTAAAAGAGTTGCTGGCCACACTCTTGAGTGCCTCCGCCTCTCCTCCAGTGGCCTCGACCATTTGTCTGAGTACTCCCTGCGATTTCTTCAGCAGTAAATGTGGTACATCAAATTCAACTGCATTTCCAGCATCCATAACAATTATACGATCCGAATCCATAACGGTGTGCAGTCTGTGTGCGACAGTCAACACTGTACAGTGCTGGAATTTGACACGTATCGTGCGCTGGATCAGTGAATCCGTTCTATAAAAGAAGAGTTAAGTGAGTAACCAATTGACATTTGCCTTTCTGTATACTAACTGTGGATCCACGTTGGCGGTAGCCTCATCCAGCACTAGAACCTTGTTGTTGCGTAGGATCGCACGCGCCAAGCAGAGAAGCTGTCGCTGACCCACACTGAAATTGCTGCCACGCTCGGTGACCATAAAGTCTAGACCAGGAATCGCCGCTCGCAATTCGACATCCTCCAGAGCGCGCCACAATTCTGCGTCGCTGTAGAGTTCAAAGGGATCCAAGTTATATCGAATTGTAGCGGAGAAGAGCACTGGATCTTGTGGTATGATGGAAATACGGGTACGTAAGGTCTCCAGGGAAATACTACCCGTTTCGATGTCATCAATATAGATGCCACCCTCAATGTATGCCAGACGAAATAGTGCGCCAATCAGCGAAGATTTGCCCGCACCAGTGCGACCCACAATCCCCACCTTCCAGCCTGGTTCAATGGTCAAGCTAAGATGCTTGAGAACTGCTGAGCCATTGGGATCATAGCGGCAACTCATGTCACGCAGCTCCACCTGACCCAACGTGGGCCAATGTTGGGAAGGCTCCTTGCCTCTAGACGCCGTCTCCTGTTCGAGTTCCGTGTACTGAAGCACACGCTCAACACTGGTCATCTGTTGCAGTGACTCGGCCACCTGACGAACACCATACTGCACCATGCCCGTAAGAATCATGGCCTGCGAGATGGCCAGACCAACATTGCCGCTATATGTGGCTAAACGCGTTGAATAAGGATTAGCATGTTTCTAATTCGAAAAGACTATATACTCACTTTCACTGGTGATAATGAAACTGAAAGTCACAGCTGTGAGAAAGGCACAACTGACGCAGTCCAACCACAGTCCCAATGCTGTGTTGGCCGCCATGGTCAATTGCCAGACGCTGCTGTGCACATCTTGAAGCAAATCAAACTCTTTGGCGACCACATCCTGTAGCTGACGTGAACGTATGATCGACAGCCCCGTCAAAGAGCAGCTTAAGTGCGAAAATACCGGACTGCGGCAAATGCCTTCTAGACGCTTCAGATCCTGCGAGGGACGCAGATAGAGCTTCAATATGAGCATGTCGATGATACCCACAACCAGCATTGCAGCCATTAACACGGGATTCACCACAGAAATCACAATCAGTATGCCAAACATGACCAGAGCAATCTGTATAAAGTCCATCATGGCGCGCGGCAGAAGCTCATCAATAGCGCCCATATCTTTGGAGAAACGATTAAGTATACGACCGGAGGGATTGGTATCGAAGAATCGCATGGTCGCATGCAATATACAACTGAACATTCGATCGTGCAGCACCTTGGAGGCGTGCATGCATGTCTTAAAGAACAAGAATCCTCGAAATGTGGTCATGACGACTACACCAATAATGAGAGCGCCATAAATGTACATGCATTCGTAGGTGGTGAAATTAGTGGGCTCCCCCTGAGATCTCTGATGCTCCTGCTGCGTCCAGATATTGGCAAAATAGTCAGAGCTGCTACACACCACTTGGGAGAGCAGCATGATGCATACCATAAAACTAAAGCTCAAGAAGGTGCTGCCCGCATGGAAGTACTCGTACCACACACGCGGCGATATGCTTCCAGAGGCTTGCGCCTCGGCTAATTCATCATCATCTTGATCGATGCCCGTTTGGTCACTGTTGCTAAGCTGTAAAAAAGAATTTAAAATATAACATTTTATAAATTAAATAATACATGTTTTATTTTAAAGTGTTTTTTGCTGCTTCGTTAATAAATAGTTCAGAAATAGAAAATATTTGAAAATTATTAAGAAGTTATTAGACTTAAGGCTTTGCGTGAAGTGTATATTATATATAGAAAATGATTGATAAAAGCAAGTTGGCTTCAGATCAGATCCGCATCTTAGCATATTGTGCAAGCTATCTCAATTCCCAGATACAAGATAAAATCGTAATATATATTATTACTCACCGACTTGCTGCCATGTGTGGAATTGCTTTGTTTCCGCAGCGGATGATACCCATCACGAACGCCATCAATGTAAGGTATATCATCATCTTCCTCTATATCCTCATGTCCACTCAGAGTTGTAATTGATGATGCTTGCAAGCTGCCATTCGATTTTTCCGCCTCCTTCGGACGCTCCAATAGCTTAGCAAAGTCCAACTCACTGTTGATTAGGTCCGTATATGTCCCCTGCCTCAAGATGCGACCTTGGTCCACAATAACAATCCAATCTGCTTCTGAGAGAAAGTGTATTTGATGGGTAACCAGCAAACGGGTTGCCTTTTGCTGAGCCAGTCTGCCACGGGGTCCAATGACTTCGTCGAAAAGATGTCTTCCAACATGGGAGTCTACTGCGCTTAACGGATCATCGAGAAGATAAATGGATGCTGGTTTATAGACGGCCCTAGCCAAGCTAATGCGCGCACGTTGACCACCAGATAGGGAAGCTCCACGCTCTCCCACGATCGTCTTGTCACCGCTGCTGAGCTGCTGGAAATCCGTAGTCAGGGCACAGCACCTGGTTACATCCTGGTAACGCTTTCGCTCGTACTGTTCGCCAAAGAGTATGTTATTCCGAACGGTGCCGGTGAAGAGCCAAGGCTCTTGCGAAGCATAGGATAGTTCACCCTCAATAATTACGCCACCATCGATTATGGGCAGCTCCCCAAGCAGCAGCTGGAGCAATGAACTCTTGCCAGCTCCAACCTGTCCAATGACCGCACAAAGCTGTCCCTTCTCTATCTGCAGATTGAAGTTCTGTAGTGTACGTTGCGGTTTCTCCTTGTCCCAATTGGCACTGATGTCCTTTAGGACAATGGCTCGCGTATCTCCGCTATCTTGCTGCCCTTTATGCGTTAGTCCATGGACCTTCTCATCGCGACCCTCTAGCTGAAGAAAGGCCTGAATGCGACTCAAAGAGACCAGCGCCTCGGCTCCGAAGGTTACTGCCAGCGGATACCATATCGCAGCCACCAATTGCAGGATGTTATAATAGCTTGCAGCCGAAAAGACGAAATCCGCCGTAATTTGCTGCCCCATGAGAGCGGCTGCAACCAAAGTGATGTACAAAGTGGAACGCTCCGTGAACACCATGGTGCTGAGATAGAATCCACGGAGATACGAAGCGTAGCGTATTTGTTGAATCTCGCAGCGTCTAGCCTCGGCGACCACTGCCTGAAAGGGTTTCTCCCAAGCGTACATCTTGATTACCTGTATGCCCTGCACCAGCTCGTTCATGATGCCCACGCGCGCATCCGTGCGCTCAGCTATGCGCAGTCGAAGCACTGAGGTCAGCTTACTTAACGCCGACTGTAAGGGCACAGTTTTTAGCAGTAATCCAATGACGCCCACCAGGGCCGGGATGCCAATACGCAGCCATATCAAATAGCAAGTGAGCACCGCTTGGATGGGCATAATCCAGATCCAGTGGATAAAAATAAAACCGTAGTCCAGGCGATTGACATCATTTGAGAGTAGATTGATCAGATATCCGGCTGGTGTCTGGCCCGCTGTTTTCATGGACAGCCGCAGGGTCTTTCGATAAATAAGAGAGCAGCAGGCTATGCGCATTCGCGCTCCCATCAGGCGTTGACGAAGGTCCACATGATGTACCAGGAAGCAACCGAGCATCGTCGAAACAACCAAGACGATACCAAGGCTATAAACATCATTCCAAATATAATGAACTCCCTCCTCCAAGGCATTCCGTTCGGTGGTATTGGACGCTGCAGCAGGAAAAAAATTCTTTACATGGTCCTTGAGAGGATCATCGCTATCCAGTGCATTTGGTGAATTGACTAATGTCGGGAAAAGCAATAAAGTAAACAAAACATAATAGAGGAGTCCTTTGTTTCTACTTACCATTACCTTCCCCCGAAGTTACACCCAAGGCTGTCATGGCCCTTGCTTTGCGGTTAAGCACGCTGGTAAAGTTTTGGGCTTCGGCTTCAACCATTTCCGACAAGGTGGACGATTGATGCTGAAACTGCAGCAGTAGCTGCGCCAGTATGGCGGGTATAAGGGTTCTGTAACCAGATGCATTTAATCAAACCATTTCGTGAATGTTCAAACTCAAACCTTCGCTTACTTGATCACTATGTAGACAAGGCATATTATGCCGTTGACTATGGTGGGTCCTAGAAAACAGCGAAACAAGGCGTTGCGCAGACGTGGCTTTTCGGACTTGCGATGGGCGCGCTCTAGTTCCTTGTACCACTCGCTGACAATAATTGTTCATATAAATAATGATTAAATTAGACGTATTTTTTCGCTTACTCCTCCAGCCGATCGCCCAGCTCCTCCGAGTGATCTTCCTTCAGACATTCTGTCAGATCATCTGTATTCAGGCCCTGTCGTGATCCGCGATACAGCAAAGGCACAGCCCAGACAAATAGTAATTGCGACAGAAAGTTCGCCCCTTGACGAGGATTTTTCCGTTCCGGCTTGGCGCTACTATCCATTCTGTCGTGGAAGCCCTAAAACCTGCCATCGGAAACAATGCACAACCGTCAAATAAATTTCCTAGCTGAAAGGTGCGCATGGGCATGCCCGAATAGTATGTGAGCAGCATTCGCCGGGTTGGTCACATACATCCACTAATCCTAGGTATCAACTACGGCAACTTCGTGACTACGCACTGATTCCTTATCGCTTCACATTATGACAGCTTCAGCTGACGACCTTGTGCCCAATTTTCTTCCGCTCTCTGAGTACTCATATGTTCATTACTCTTTTCTGATAGTCGCATAATTAGTGATTAATAAAAGACATCGAAGCAACTGGACTTTCGATGTATCTAATAAAAATCTCGAATTTTACCATCGGGTAGTATATTCTTCTTGATAAACAATTTGTTTTACACATTTACAAATCTCCTGTATGTTGTATTATTGAAACACAGGCATATTTCTATCCTCAATTCATTTGAATGGAGCTGTTCTTTTTGTACGAAGTTTCATTAGTTCATAAAATATATGAAGCTTACAATTAACACAATAAAACAATCCACACGTTGAAAAGTAAGCTCCACAAAAAGATGTGCGGTAAAAACAGTTGGCGCTCGGAATTCACAAATATAATAGATCATGTTACGGATATGCTTTGCAATTGTTAGGCTGTTTTATTGTTTCTTAACTGTTTCTTAAACACGTCTAACAGCCAACTGGCTAATTATATAATAATATTACAATAAGACTTATTCTTATGGCTGTAAATGTTCTGAGCACTTGATAAATAGAGAAGTATACGTATCGGTCGTTCACTTAATTGTTTATTTGCTTGCTCGATGTCTGCAATTGATAAGATGTGTCATTTGAGCGTAAATCATATTGTATCTGAAGACGTTGACAATTTCGCAACTCTCATGACAATAACCATAATTTTTATTAATTAGCGTTGCCCATATACATACATAGATCCAGGGCATACAAATAGGCGTCTGGTATCAAAACGTGCGTGATAAGCCGCCAACAGCTCTTATGTTATGTATGATGCTTAAAGTTGACCGTAAACCATTGGCCTCTGCAAGAGCTACCCCTGATCAAGACACTATTAACTAATTTATGTTTTAGAGCAACAACTAAACGACGTCTCTGTTTGTTGTAATGACGGAATTTCGTAACGTTATATTCTTGACCCGTTTATTATATTGAATGGTCTTTAATTGCCTGCCAGTTATAAGTGAGTGCAATCCCCTTGTTTGAATGAGTTCTATAGAATTCAAGGGTAGTGTTCCAACTGTTTGTTGGAACTCGCTGATGTGCATGACTTCAATATTTATAATTGTTTCTCTACAAATCAATTAATAAAAGTGTCACGCCAAAATTGTGAGTAAAGTAAACATATGTACATATATATTACAAGAATGTACATATATAGTATGTAGGTATGTAAATATTCATATAGCTGTTTTCACTTGAGCCAATTATAAGATGCTCTGTTGATATATACAGATATTTGAATTATTCAATTACACTGATTGTCAAAGAACCTAAATATATCGCATATTACAAATTAAATTGCCTCCTTCTGTTAATTTGCCAATCATTAAACAAGGAACAGAAATATAAGAAAATATAAAATAATAAGTTCGCAATGTATGTATGTAAGTCCCAGATCCGATGTTTTAAGCTATTATCGGAAACCAAGTTTACACAAAACTACAACAATAATGGTTTGTCGCTTCATGCGCTTAAATAATTATTTATTCCCAAACCGGCTGCTGAAATATGCCGGATAAGAGTATTTCACCACATACTCCCTCTCTCTCTCACTCTCTGTTTCTCTCTACGTTTATATACTTCTCTCTCACTATCTCACTCCCTCTCTCTTTCCCTTGATATCAACAGTTGTTCCAAAAGTTCTGTTTTACACTTCGCGTAAATTAATCACTTGAATTATAATTTATTGCAACAGAAAAACAAAAAATACGCCTTAGATTACAAATGTGCTTGGTGTCGACTTTTAAAAGTATAGAAATATGAATACATAAAATCTACAAACATACATATGAATATATATAATACAAACTGGCATATTACTGTATGTATATAATACAGACTGTCGTATTACTGCATTCTAGACTTGCATACGTTGTTGTATATAAGTACATACATATGTATGTTTATATGTGTATGTATGTATTTATAATCAGGCAAAAGATATCGACATTACTTAAACATATGACTACAAACCAGCAAGTGGTTGGTTGGCAAGGGGCTGGCACATAGAAGAAAGGGTACCAAAAATGCTTTGTTCGCTGTGCTCCGAGTCATTGGCACACCCCTTAAACGGCGCCGAGGTGCAAAGGGTTATTGGCCATTTCCCATTTGCAGCGACGTGCTTAAAAATAACACAGTCCCCCATGGCAGGAAAATGCTAAACCTATGTGAAAATATGAACAAATCCCGTGTAGCCAACGACAGAAAATTATTCGGCAGACTTCATGACGTAAAGCCTCAAGCAAATTACTTCACACAGAGGCATATACATATATGTATGTACGTTTGTTAAAAAAAAAACACAAAATAATACATTTGCGTACTGTATATACAGTTTTTTAGATGTATATATATTTTTGCATACCCAGCTAAATGTATAATTAATGTTTTTATCTATCAGAAGACTTATTTGTTTATTATTTTGTTGCTTTTGATTGTTAACCACTTGAAGATTTCGATGTTGTAACACGTGCGCGAAATACACCACCCGTTTGGAACCGGCAACACGAATGAACTAACCAACCCGCTGATTTGAAGCACCGCCGATTTGAGCACCGCCGCGGCGCACAGCTCGAATGCAACTGAAAGTTAATGGAACAAACCACTCAGCTAATGCCCGCCAGTTTCTTGAATCCCCCAGTGGGAGAGAGAGAGAGAAAGAGCGCTAGCCGTTTGTTTTGGCAAAAAATCAGCTCACATTGTTAGGGTCTTATCGTGTGGCAGAGCGCATTGTTTTTATGAGAATTTTGAGAGTACACATGACTACAAAAGTGGGGTATACAAAATACAAAGTCATATAACATAACCCATAAGTTTTTATCACCAAATTGATTTACAATGATAATGGTGTGAATCGCAGGTGGGAAGTCTTAGGAGAAAGCCATAGTAGGCAAGCCTATTTAAAAATGTATTAAAAATAATAACGTCCTGGTCCTGGGTTTGTGTGCTCTCATAAAAAAAACCACTTTAGCACACTAAATTAAAGTACTGGGGCCAGTCAAGCGCAAAAAATATAGTATATTATTATTATAATTATATTATACTAGCGAGTATTTTACCGCTAGCTTTATTTAGATATAAGTTTTTTATTCTATCCGAACTATCTTGAACTCAACATAGTGCATGGAAAAAAAGTTTGAGGCCGATGGGATGAAACTTAAAACTTCGCCCTTACAACCTTTGACCCGTATTTTTTATAGTAAAGGCTCGAATTTTGTGAAAAGTGATTTTTTTTTAAAGAAACATGCCTGCAACGAATTTTCTTATGGATCTCTGTGAATGGGATTGCACCTTTAACTTTGCTCATTGACCTTTTATTTGCAATTTTTCATCCAAAAGGGGTAGAAATTAACAACAAGTAAGAGGTTCTAGTCGGGAGCTCCCGACTAGAGGATACCCTGAACCCTCTTCTTCCAACATCAAATACCTATATATATTCTATTTTAGAAGCTATATGTCAAGTTTGGTGACTCTAGCTCTTATTATTTAAAAAAATTGCCCAAAAAACAGGATATCGATATCGATTCTTATCGATTGCTTGAAAACGGAATAAGTTATCGATTATCGGAAACAAACTCGATCTGCGCAGGCACTAGGAGTACCTACATCTATTCATTTCAATTTCAAGTCTCTAGCTCTTATAGGTTCTGAGATCCTTGCGTTCATACATACGGACAAACAGACAGACAGATACGGGTTCAGGGTATAAAAATGTGAGACACGTTTCAGATGAATTTTCACAAAGATATTTGAATATAAGCTTGAAGTCGATCCGATGGTAAACTAAAATTCATTCAGCATTTTCCGCAAATTACCACTATTGCGATTGGAATTTTCTAAATCGCTGGAACATATATTTAATAAGTTCTTATATAGGGTTCTGAGAGTACATTTAAGGTCGATCGAACGACCCTTAATGCTTCTCCAAACAATCTTTGAGCTGTATTTACCATTGAGATGGCTTGGATTCTGCAAAAAGGATGAAACACGTCTCAAACGAATTTACATAAAGATTGAGTTTGAATGTGATCAGATGGTAAACAAACACCGAAAAAGATAGGATTCGGCAAATTGTTTAAAACACGCCTTAAATGAATTTTCATAAAGAGACATGCATTTCACAATTTTTCCATAATTGCAGGTGATATTTCTAAAAACCCCGTCTTAGCGTGCACTATTACATATGATAACTACAATCGGTTTCATAACTTTTACGGCTTGGGCTGAGCGTTGATCACCAATCAGGAAAAACAGTTTTATTTATAGAGAAAAATAAGATGTATTATAACCCATTAATAAAAATAATAATAATACGTTTATTATCTAAATCCGTAAGGTAAAAGTACATTGTTGACATGTTAATAAGTAAATGTTAAATATATTGTATTTAAATACTTAATTATACAATATTAAAACTATTTCTTCAGAAAAAAAAAATCGATTTATTTACATAATATTGTAACTGTATATTTATGCGGAACCAAAACATTGCTTAAAGAATCCCAAAACGTTGGGGAACTTGACATTCAACAGAAGAAAAAAAAGAGGAATTGAACTCGAAGCAATTGAAGCATTTATAATGATTGAGCGCTCGGCGGTTACCGTTAACGAATCTTTGGCAGCTCCGCACAAATTTGCATGGCCAGCAGTATCGGAGGCGAACGCATTTTCAGTCCACTCAGCGTCTACTTTCGTTGGAGTTTCGTTTATTGGATTTGCGCATACTATTAGGGCACACTGGCCTGTGGTCAGCAAACTAGCCGGAAAGTATCTGTCAGATACAGAGCTCAGGTAGTCGGGTATTTTTGCCAAGCACTGTAACCAAGGTGCCGGCGATCTTATCGCGCCTTTGCGTACTCAAACTCGGCCTCTTCGCTCGTCGCATTTCATTTGACTGTTGTCGGTTATAAGGCACAAGACGGTCGGCATGTCGAATCAGTTCTGTGCTGGCCTTGCCCTTGTCGCGCCGTGATTTGGGTTCGTTTTTCGTCTCGCAGACAAGGTAGATAAACTCGCAGTCAGTCCACTGAGATTGCTTCCTGCTGGTGTGTCTGAGAGTCCCTTGACGATCTGGTTTCTCAGGAGATGACCGAGCAGCTGTACCGTGGCGGTCTGCTGCGCTGGGCTGTGCAGCTGCTCAGGACGTTGCTTGTCCGCATCATGTCTCACTTTCAAGCTGAGCTTCAAACCAACTATACAAGCCATAGCCTGCAGATTGTGCCTAAATATGTGCCCATACCACGCGCCAAGGGACTGCCCATTGTGGGTACACTCTTTGATTTGATAGTAGCTGGCGGTGCACCGCAGTAAGTTCCACATGTGGAAATAAAAAGAGCAGCTAACCGTGAAAGCTATCTACAGGTTACACAAATATGTGGACGCACGACATCGCCAGTACGGGGCAATTTATCGGGAACGATTGGGCGGCACACAGGACTGTGTGTTCGTGTCCTCGGCAAATCTAATGCGTAGCCTCTTTTTGCAAGAGGGTCACTTTCCAAAGCATCCGCTACCGGATGCCTGGACTTTCTACAACAAGCGACATGCCTGCCAACGTGGACTCTTCTTTATGTAAGTAGCGCATGAAATGAATTGCAAATCATATTAATCCGCTTTGGGGGAATATCTAATGGGCACAGGGAGGGTGCTGAGTGGCTGCACAACAGGCGTATTCTTAATCGGCTGCTGCTAAATGGTAATTTGAATTGGATGGACGTGCATATTGAGAGCTGTACGCGCCACCTGGTGGACAGTTGGCAAGCGCACACAGAGGAGGCAAACAAAAGCGGAAAGCACTACGAGCTACCGGATCTCGAAAAACAATTGTATCGTTGGTCCATCGAAGGTAGGGTATAAGAGAATTCATTTGTGAATTCATAACTAAACTTCGGGCTCTTTCAGTACTCTGCAGCATCATGTTCGGCTCTAAGGTTTTGACCTGCCCCAAAATGCAGTCCGCTCTGAATGAATTTACACAGATCGTTCACAAAGTTTTCGAGCATAGCTCGCGACTGATGAACTTTCCGCCTAGGCTGGCGCAGCTACTGCACCTGCGCATCTGGAGCGACTTCGAGAGCAATGTGGGCGAGGTGCTACAACAGGGTGCGGCAATCATTGAGCTCTGCATTAGCTTGCAGCGGGGGCAGCCGCAGTCGGAGCAGGATGAGGCCTTATACCACAAGCTGCGGGCTGCGGCGGTGCCCAGCGAAATGATCAGGCGCATTTTTGTGGATCTGGTCATAGCAGCAGGTGACACGGTCTGCAGTTTAGCGGCTAATTCTCTCTGGTTTCAATAATTCTCATACCAATTCCCTACAGACCGCCTTCAGCAGTCAATGGGCTTTGTATCTCCTGTCGCTCAATCAGCTGCTACAACGACGTATCGCCCATGAGCGTGCTGCGGCTGAATCTCAGCTTCTACACGGCTTGATCAAGGAAACGCTACGCCTGTATCCAGTTGCTCCATTTATCGGTCGCTACTTGCCGCAAGATGCACAGATTGGCGGCCATTTTATAGAGAAAGATGTCAGTTGCGTACATTTGCCACTCCAATTTCTACGGTTTTTTAACATTTCCCGTCTCATTTCAGACCCTTGTGTTGATCTCTCTTTACACTTCCGGCCGGGATCCATCACAGTTTGAGCAACCTCTAAAGGTTCTGCCCGAACGTTGGTTACTCGGGCAGACAGATCGGGTGCATCAGTCTCATGGCAGCCTGCCCTTCGCCATTGGACAGCGGTCCTGTATCGGGCGACGTGTGGCTATGAAGCAGCTGCACACGCTACTGGGAAAATGCGCTTCCCAGTTTAAAATGCAGTGTCTCAACGAAAAGCCCGTGGATTGCATGCTGCGCATGGTCACTGTGCCCAGTCAGATCTTGCGCTTGGCACTAACGCTCAAATTTGAAAAGGGCAAAACGGCACCAGTATAGTTTCACATAAGGCATATTCAAATCGTTCTGGATATATATATTCCAATAAATATATATGGCAGTCAGAGTTATCTAACTTAGTTACAGTAACCTTATTTCTACTTTAACTTTTAGTTTATAGAGTAAAAAAAAAAAAAATTAATAACAACTTAAATAATAATAAGCTCGTAGACTCTACGGTTGCGTGTTCTTATCTAGAAGAATCCCTGTACTGCGTCCCAGTAGCATGAGCAGCTGTCGCTCATCTGTGCCTTTCTTTGCCCAAGGCTGCTGCATTTCTTGGAATGAATCACTGGCCAACTGTCGAAGTGTATCGGCCTCGCCGCCGGTAGCTTCGACCATCTGTGCTAGTGCTCCTTGTGTTTTTTGTAATAGCACATGTGGCACATCAAATTCAACCGCATATCCGGCATCCATAACAATGATGCGATCCGAATCCATGACGGTGTGCAGTCTGTGTGCGATAGTCAGCACTGTACAGTGCTGAAACTTGACACGTATCGTGCGCTGGATCAGTGAATCCGTGCTGGGAAAGCATTGAATAGTTTTAGTTTATGTGCAACCTTTGATGATATGATGCTTACAGTAGATCCACATTGGCAGTTGCTTCATCCAGCACTAGAATCTTGTTGTTGCGTAGAACCGCACGCGCTAAGCAGAGGAGCTGTCGCTGACCCACACTGAAATTGCTGCCACGCTCGGTGACCATAAAGTCTAGACCGGGAATCACCGTCCGCAGTTTAACATCTTCAAGAGCGCACCACAGCTCCGAATCACTGTACCGCTTAAAAGGATCCAAGTTATATCGAATTGTAGCCGAGAAGAGCACTGGATCTTGTGGTATGATGGAAATGCGGGTACGTAAAGTCTCCAGGGAAATACTACCCGTCTCGATGTCATCTATATAGATGCCACCCTCAATGTATGCCAGACGAAAAAGTGCGCCAATTAGCGAGGATTTGCCCGCACCAGTGCGACCCACTATTCCCACCTTCCAGCCCGGTTCAATAGTCAAACTAAGCTGATTGAGAACGGACAAGCCTTTGGGATCATAGCGTAAGCTCATAGCCCGGAATTCAATTTTTCCGTTTTGCGGCCACTGCTGAGAAGGTTCCTCGTTATCGCGGGCCGCTGGCTCCTGTTCCAGTTCCGTGTACTCCAGCACGCGTTCTACACTAGTCATCTGTTGCAGGGACTCGGCTGCCTGCCGCACGCAATACTGGACCATGCCTGTGAGAAGGATGGCTTGCGAGATGGCTAGGCCAACATTGCCACTGTATATGACTGCAAAATTGAGCATTAATTTAAGTTATGTTTGGTATCAGCCAGTTGGACGCGTTAGCTTACATTCGCTGGAAGCAATAAAGCTGAATGTGACAGCTGCGAGGAAGACACAGTTGATGCCATCCACCCACAGTCCAAGAGCCGTGTTTGTAGCTTCTGCTAGCTGCCAAACGCCGCTGTGCACATCCTGCAGAAGATCAAACTCTTTTGTTGCTATGCTCTGCATCTGGCGTGAGCGTATGATCGGAATGCCAGACAAAGTTGAGGTCAGATGTGAAAAAACTGGGCTGCGACAGATACCGTCCATGCGCTTAAGATCCTGCGAGGGTCGTAAATATACCTTCAGTACGAGCATATTCAGAAGAGCCATAGCCAGCACGACAGGTAATAACATAGGATTCACCACTAGAATCACAGCTAATATACCAAATATAACCAAGCCGTGTTGTATAAACTCTAGCATGTTTCTAGGCAGCCACTCGTCCATTGTTCCAATATCCTTCGAAAACCGATTGAGAATTTGACCAGCGGTGTTATTGTGAAAAAATCGAATGGATGCATGCAATATACTCCTGAACATTCGGTCGTGCAGGACCTTGGAGGCGTGCATGCATGTCTTGAGAAAAAGGAAGCCACGGAAGGTAGTCATAATCACCACGCCAAGGATAAGGGCACCATAAATGTACATGCACGTGTAGGTGGTAAGATTGGTGGGCTCACCCTGAGATCGCAGACGCTCCTGCTGCGTCCAGATATTAGAAAAGTAGTCAGAGCCACTACACACCAACTGCGATAGCAACATGGTGAACACCATGAAGCTAAAGCTTAACCATGAGCTGCCCGCTTGGAAGTACTCGTACCAAACACGAGATGAAATCACTCCCGTTGCTTGGGTCTCAACTAAGCCATTGTTCCTTTGGTCAACCTTCAGCTGATCTTCAGTTTTAGACTGTAAATATTAATACATAGATTGGTTAGTAAGCAAACAACTTTTGCATAATTGTTTTTGAATATGAGATACACTAACATCGTTAGACAGTATCGCTAATTTTTCAAAATTTCAAATTTTGAATTCATATATTCGCCCATTTCTCTAAATCAATACATGTCGGTTTTTAGATTGGCGTTATAATCATGTATTGTCAAGCGCAGATTTTAAACATTAACGTGAATCAAAAAAATATTTTGCATAGCGTGGGACTGCATAAAAGGAAGTTCGAATGTTGGTTAGGGTCGAAGTCGGCTACTTCGAATTGTTAAATGCATACTTTTTTCGGGTCTTTTTTAATTGAGTTCCAACTTACCGTGTTATCGCTCCTCCGGCGCTTTCGTAATGGCATCGAGCTATCAGAAACGACATCAACATCTTCATCTTCGTCCTGGTCTTCAACTTCAACTGATGTTGCCGTGGGCAGTAATTGAATTTCACTCTCCAATTCCTCCGATTTGCTGGGACATTCGAGTAACTTAGCAAAATCTAGATCACTATTGATAATATCCTGATAAGTGCCCTGGGCTACAATGCGGCCGTGTTCCACTATAACAATCCAGTCAGCTTCTGAGAGAAAGTGTACTTGATGAGTGACTAGTATACGGGTAGCCTTCTGCTGAGCCAGTCTGCCACGTGGTCCAATGATCTCGTCAAAGAGATGTCTCCCAACATGTGCGTCTACAGCGCTCAATGGATCATCCAAAAGGTAGATGGAGGCTGGTTTATAGACGGCCCGTGCCAGGCTTATGCGAGCTCGTTGACCACCAGATAGCGAGGCCCCACGCTCTCCCACAATTGTCTTGTCACCCTTGCACATCTGCTGAAAGTCCGTGGCCAGAGCACAGGCCCTAGTTACTTCCTGGTAGCGCTTTTCATCGTACTGCTCGCCAAAGAGAATATTATTCCTCACAGTTCCTGTGAAGAGCCAAGGCTCCTGGGATGCATAGGAGAGTTCGTCATGTATGAAAATGCTACCATCAATGATGGGTAACTCCCCCAGTAACAACTGGAGCAAGGAGCTCTTGCCTGATCCAACTGGACCTATGACTGCGCAGAGCTTGCCCTTTTTAACCAACAAATTGAGGTTATGAAGCGTGCGTTGCGGCTTGTCCTTGTCCCAGCTGGCATTGATATCCTTTAGGACAGCGGCTTCCTTATATCTGCCATCTTTTTCCCAGTTCTGGCCAAGGCTATGTACATTGTTTCGCTCCTCCTGTTGTAGATACGTCTGAATGCGCACTAGTGAGACCAACGCCTCGGCACGCAAATTAATTGCCAGGGGAAAGTAAACTGCTGCTACAAGCTGAAGTATGTTGTAATATATAACCACGGAGAAAACAAAATCAGCTGTAATACTCTGATTCATTAGGGCGGCAGCTGCTAGAGTAATAAATAGTGTTGTGCGTTGAATAAAAAACCTGGTAGTGCGCTGGAATCCATACAGGTAGTTGGCGTATCGAAGCTGTTGCACCTCGCTGCGCCTAGCATCGGACACAATGGTCTCAAAGGAGTCTTCCCAAGCGTACATTTTGATAACCTGAATGCCTTGCATTAGTTCGTTCATGATGCCAACGCGTACATCTGTCCGTTTTGCTATGCGCCTCCGTAGAGCTGAGGTCAGTTTACTTAGCGCCATCTGCACCGGCACCGTTTTCAGCAGGAGTCCAAGTACACCAATGACAGCTGGAACTCCAATTTGTAGCCATAAAATGTAGCATGTGACCACCGAGTGGATTGGCAAGATCCATATATAATGCGCGAATACCAAAGCATAGTCTAACCGGCTTACATCATTTGAGATTAGATTAATTAGGTGACCCGCTGGGGTAGAGCCTACTGTGCGCATAGACAGACGGAGAGTCTTACGATAGACCAGCGAGCAGCAGGCAATTCTCATTCGAGCACCCATTAGACGTTGGCGCAGATACAAATGGTGCCAAAGAATGCAAGCAATAAAATTTATGCCCACCAATAGACCACCAAGACTGTAGACATTGTACCAAATGGCATTCCATGTGCTATTATTCGACTTATTTGAGGGTGTAGCTGTATCCAAAGGTTTTGAGTAGCTTACTATGTGGATTGACATTAATTAAATTATGAAGATACTTTGTTTGGCACTACTTACCATTGACCTCTATTACAGACGAGCTTAAGTTAAAGCCACTCGAAGAAGGGTTAGAATTGGAATTATATATGTCGGCTTCCGGTTTATGTTGCAGCTGCAGCAGCAGTTGCGCTAAAATAGCGGCTATCAACATTCTACAAGATGTGGTCTTAATATAATTACGTTTTCAGTTCATGTTATAAAAGATTCACTCACTTGAGGGCAATGTATACAACGCACAGAACGCCATTGATGATAAAGGGGCTCCAAAAGCAACTGAGCAAAGCGTTGCGAAGTCGAGGTATTCGCGATTTACTTTGAGCCCTCGCCCGCTCCTTAAACCACTCACTGAAACAGATAAGATGTTTTTAGACCCCTTAAATATAGACAATTACTCACTGCTCCAACCGATTGCCCAGTTGCTCTGAGCGATCATCCTTTAGGCATTCTGTTAGATCGTCTGCACTGAGACCTTGTCGCAATCCACGCAACAATAATGGCAAAGCCCAAGCAAACGTCAGATGGGATAGAATGTTGGCTTGCTGACATGGATTCTTAAGATTCGGCTTAGTACTACTGTCCATTTTGCAATGAGACCGCACCGTAAGTGTCTACGTCCGATCGCTTAAAGCGCGCTGATAAACTACGCGCACTACGCGAACAATCTTATCGAAATGTGCTGAATGTGAAAATCTACAATCTTCTTACAATAAATGCAATCTAAACACATAATCTAATGGTAAAACGCCGCACGAATTCTCTACACTCTACAATATTAAGAAAACTTTAATGAAAAAAAAAAAAAAATAATATCAACTAATAAATAATCTCATTCACTGTTCAGAGTAAACAATCAACTGACCTATGTAAAAATATAAAATGTCTCTCGGATTGGCCGTGGAGAAAAATTGCACAAATACGAAAGTCGCCGCTTTCATAGTTGCTCACATTCGCTCGCTCAGTTGTGACGTAAAGATAAGCGTATTTCGATTCCTTTGTATACCCTTTCGAATTCAGAGTACGTTCTTATTTATAATTTAATATTGTACTTAGACACATAAAAATAAATAATATATCTTAATGTAGGCATGTATACATGCATATATATACAAATATACCACATATCTCCATATATTATAGTTATTTGCAACTCGAGAGAGTCTCTGCCTTAATTTCGACACGTAAGCCTGGTTTGCAAGAAAGAATCGTCTGTTGATACTGATCAAGAAGTCCCCTTCTACGCGTTGCACAGTTCATGACAAAATTATACTCTCAACAAGGGTACAATAAAAAAGCATAACTTGAACGTTGGGCGATTGTCTCGCACCTGTATTACCCGACAATTTTAAATTCCCACAAAGCAATTGATTAATAAGAATATTTAGTTAAAATTTCGCTCCAAACTAAATATAATATTTAATTTCACAATGCATTGCTTTTTTGCAAGGCTCCAACAGTGCTGGAAAAGATTGCCGCCCACAGCGCAAAGCATGTCAACATTCTGGGGGAACATAACCTGCCAGACCACCGACCACCCACATAAACAAAGTATGTTTTCAACAAAAATATATTGTTTTCACCTACATTATTAATTTCATGTCATGTTCTCCATTTGCTTAGCTTTTTCTTTGTTAATCATACGTAGTTATTTGAATTATTTAGTAGTTAAGTCGGATTGTCCTAAGCAAAAGATTTCAAATAAAATATTGAATACAAAAAATGGATATGGATATGTAAAACATATGCCATTAGAAAGTTTAGTAGAGCGTAGGCAAATAGCAATTCCAACAACCGGCGGAATACTGGGAGAGACTGCAACAAGTCCGCGACTGCGCGAGTTTTATCTATAAAAACGAGAAAGAAAGGCTATCTTCGGCACGCCAAAGATCTAATACCCTTGCAGACCCAACCTTTTCATAATGCTTATAGTGCTTTGCCCGTATGTAAGAAGCACTGGGAAAATAGTTAAAGCCGAGCTTGGTCAAGATATCTTGATAAACAAAATGTTTTTTCATACAAAAACTTAATTTTCGACCGATCATTCCTATGGCAGCTATATGATATATTGGTCCGATCCAGCTGGTTTTCACATATGTGCTGCGTGCAACAGAAAGACGGACTTCTGCAAAATTTCATTAATATAGCTTTAAAACTGAGAGACTAGTTCGCATAGAAACAGACAGACGGACAGACGGACATGGCTCTATCGACTCGGCTGTTGATGCTGATCAAGAATATATATATTTTATGGGGTCGGAGATGTCTCCTTCTATGCGTTACACATTTCACGACAAAATTATAATACCCTCTGCAAGGGTATAAAAATGTATATATTTCGTATTTGTTCATCGAAACGAGATAATTTTGTGTTTAGCACAAAACTAAAACTTCAAAAATTGCTTGGAAAAAAAAATTGTTTTTCCTTGCTGTATTTTGGGCAACCGCTGGAAAAACTGAAATTGTTCAGAGCCGGTTCATATATCTCCATGTTCCCAGATATTCATATGCATAGGTATACAGTCAATACAATTTGTAGAAATACGGGTGGCAACAAACAGTGGCATTTGGAATTCGGTGCATGCATTATAATTTTTAAGATTTGTATGAGCGTCCAGAATGTACACAGACCCAAGGCCACAATGCATCAACTGATTGTTTGTTGAGTAATATTTGAATACATTTTGCTGTACTGTAAATGAGGCCACTCAATTTACGTGCCTTTATTGTCAATTCCCTAATTTAATTGAAATGCCGTTTATTCACAGAACTACATTTCGTTTGTTATTCCTTCTTAAATTGCACAGCTGTGTAGCACGCGAAAGGAGACTAGACAAGATTTGTTTGTTTGCTGAAGGTGATAAGTTCTGTCTTATTACGAAAATTAAACATTTGTGGAATATCCCACTTTACGAGCAGTCTGTGAAGTGTTGATTAGTTAATGAAGGTTTAGATAAAATAGATAGATGATATACAAAAACAGCTATCAAGTGAAATTGTACTTTTTATTTTTATACAAATATAATTTTTATAACTACAACATGAAGCTGTTATGATAACAATGCCAACAGCATGCAGTAAATAAAGAACACAGCACACAAAAGCAACAGTCCAACACTCGCCACGCCGAACCACAAGTGTCCGAAGCACAATGCAAATGCCATCATACAAAGTGAGGGTATAGATCCCAACGGACGCAGACTGATACGTGGGGGTAGTTGCTTCTCATAAATGTCCACGTTACCATCACTCTTTTCGAACCATTTTTCAGTCATGGGCGCGTACAGCACTTGGCGTGAGAGCTTTCCGTAAAAGTCCTCCCGTTCGTAAAAAGCTTCTATTCGCCTGCCATACTGAATGGAGGATTTAAAAAATTAGTACCAAATGCGACAGCAACAAAATTGGATGTGAAACTTACTCTATCGTTGATGGCCTCTGAAATGAGGTGCAACAGTCTAACTAGAGGCCTAATCTCATTTGACTTGATGGGCAGCAGTGCAGGATCGACTGTCGGCTGCATATTTGAGGCGTTCAGTGACATTTGATGCGGGGTCAGCTTTGAGGTGTCCAAACAATTATTTGAGTCGAAAAAGCTAAAATTCTGCAACGAAGGTGAAGCCGGTGGACTTGGCTCCACAGGTAGTGTTTCATGCATAGACAATGTGCCTGGGTCTACCTGTTGAAAAAGAAACCATTGGTTTACAAACGCATCAGTTCAAGGAAGAGGCTTACATTAAAAGTCCGACAGAATGCATCAATACAATGACGCAGCACCTCTGGTATACGACTAAGATCACGGAGCGTTAACTCGTCCTGCGTTGCCTCGCCTATGAACTTTTTAAATATATTTTTCAGATAGCCCTCTGAACGTTGTCTTTCCAAAATCTCCTTCCGCAGCGCACTTATATTATTAGTCAGCACGGAATTGCGAGCCATGCTAATGACATACAAAAAACTTTGAATTTTCGTGTGCATCTGTTCACTGAATAGCTTAGGTATATTGGAGCTGACCAATGGGTTCCATTGTGCATTGTAAGAGCTGTTGTGTGATTTGCTGCAAAAATTCAATCATATTTTGAAACCAACGAAAACTTATTTTTTAGCCGAACGTACTTTAACATATTGACCTGGCGCTGAGGTGAATCAAAGCCATAGGCATTACCGGAGTGCAGCCGTTCAAACCGCTGCAGACGATCAACCAAATCCTGCTGCGAAAACGTCTTGGCCAGACGGTGCAGCATGAATGCATTGCGATAAACTGAGTAGTCCAGGCGCTCAAACCGCGGCAGCAGTTGCATGAAGATGTGCGTATATACAATGAGGTTGTCAATAATGAAGCCGTCGAATTGGTTCGTAATTGGCGGCTCATAATATATGCCCAAGCTGCGGAAAAAAAAATTAGCAATGAAAATAAGCTAAGCTAAGAAATGGGCTGCGACTTACGTTCTGTTGTTAGAACCTAAAGTGTAGCGCCAGGGTTGTATATAGCTTAGCCAAAGTTCCAAAACAACACTCAGAGAGCTGTCCAATGGCCACCGATCGATCAGACTGCAGAGGAAAGCGTAGATACGCGCCTTCACCATGGTAAGCGACAGCTTGCGCAGCGCACAGAGCGGACTGTGATCCATACGTGCAGCATTCGCAAAGAAATGTATTTGCTTGACGAGCGTGCGTACTCCTCGCACGAAATCGCTGCTGGGCAGATGATGCTCGGATTCTATATCGTATCGCAGCCATATATCTACAAAGAAATGCAACACGGACTCGGAACGCCAGGCATAGGCGCGACTAGCAGCACCATTGCCGTCCGCTGACTGTGGCGACGTGTTGCCACCGCCGGCAACACTGCCGGTCTCGCCGTTTCCATTCCGGTATGAGCTTGGCAGTTTGAGGTAACGTAACTGACGCTGTGGCTGTAATGACTGCGCTGGTAGCTGTTGCGGTGCTTTGACACTGGTGGAAAAATTGGAAGGCTCGATACGTGCGTCCGGATACTGTGGCAAAAAGTTGTCGAGGTACTCAGCCGCCAAGAATTGATAAATAGTCTTGGCGCGCTCGTTGTGTATCTGCATGGCTATGGGATTAACTGTGTGCAGTGGTTGTAGCGCGTACAGCACAAAATGAAACATATAAAAGTCGAACGCGTTGAGGGACAGCGTGCTCACTTGATGCTTTAGCGGATCAATGTTTATCAGATCCGAATAAAACATGGGTCCTGCTTGCAGCATGCTTATGAATTTACGCTATTGAAAGTAAAAACACGATATCTTTGATATCCAGCCAGTAAACCCCTATGATATCTGTCGCTTACCGGTAATAAATTAATATCAATATCAAATTTAGTTGTCTCGTTTAAAAGCCGGTGGCAGACATGCATCCAAATGCCGTTGACACCAAGGAAGTGCTGCAGTCTGTTGAAATAATGCGACGCATTCTCCATGGTCGTGATCCGAAGTCCCCATCCCAGCGAATTTCCATTAATGCCGAATATGGAGTGCACTATGAGCGGGTAGATTTCCTCTATTTGTCGCACGGTGCAACGATCGAACAATAGCTCGAGTTGCGGCAGTTTATCCAGCAGAGGCAAGCTGAGCACTGTCAGAATGTGGCTCTGGAAAACCATTCATTATTTTCAGTATTGAATCATCTTAGAAAGCACAAATACTTACATTTATGTTTTCTGGCGGCATCGGCTGAGACATGTTGTCGGAGCTATGGGTGACTCTCAAACTATGTTTGTATCAAAAAATAATAAGCGAATGGCAGAGCGTTGCCACCTTGAGTTTGTAATCGATTAAAGCGTCATCGAAGGAAATACTGCTATTTAATGTTAAAATTAGAGCCATATGAATACTTTATTTGAATAGCACAGCTTCGTCTACATAACTTAAGCTTTTCGCAGAATCACCTTGTCGAGACAAGGCACTTTTGAATATTAGTTATTACACAGGGCTGCACACACTATTTAAGCGTGAGCTTAATTGTGTGCAATTTTTCCAATTGCCGCATACGGTCACACTGTCCGTGATTGTAGCCGGCGTTTGTTTTGGTGTAATTTGGCTGAGTGTTAATTTTTGTTTTCCATTGTTTCTAAGTATCAAAATGAAACGCCGCAGCCAAACAAAAGTGCAGGTGCCTACAGAAGCAGCCAAGAAGCCGAAGGAAAAGGCGGGTGCTCTTACTTTGGATCAGTTCAGCTCCGATGTTATTTGGCAGGTGGGTGCTCCGCTAAACAAAACGTTTATGAACTCAATGCTTCTACAATTTTATTGCAGCTAGCATCAAAGTACTGGTTACCGGAATCTAAGTCCGAGCATTTGCCATATAATGCTGACATCATAGAAAGCATTTACGCCGACGAAATAACGAGCGGAAAGGGTAGCGCACGCCGCATCAACATGCTGGAATTCAGCCAGTACCTGGAGCAGTATTTGTGGCCCAATTACAAACGCGGGACGGCCACACATGCTCATTTGATGTCCATAGTGATCATGTCGAATGAGAAGTTTCGGGAGCGCGTAGAGGTGTGGAATGTGTTCGAGCAGTTGCCAGAGCAGTATCCAGCATTTTTTCACCACGTGCTGGAATCCTGTTTGCCGGATCAAGCAACAAAGCAAAATAGGAGCACACTGCGAGAACGGACGGCACTGCTAATATTTCTAAATCACTGCTTCAACAGTATGGAAGTTGAGCTGTGTCGCGATCAGGCAAAGCGCCTGGTCTCTCTCTCCATGTGGCACTGCCTGCAGCCGCGTAAGTGCAACAATTAATCTATTCAGTATTGGCCCCGTCGAATGAACTGTCCTTTTTTTATGTAGGTCGCCGCGAGCAGGAACTGCGTGAGGTACCTGAATGGCGCAAATACTGGAAACGCCTGCAGAAAAAGGAAAAAGATGCTGCCAATCCCGATGTCACGTGGGAACGTCATTTTATGCAGAATCTTATCATTGATTTCCTGCACATACTGGAGCGTATTCCATCTGAAGGTGAACTCAATAGCAATGTGGTCCACTATTGCGAACGTTTTCTAGAGTTTATAATCGATTTGGAGGCACTGCTGCCCACGCGTCGGTTTTTTAATACTGTGCTGGATGATTGCCACCTCATTGTGCGTGCACTTATGTGTCCGCTGGTGCAGCGCGAAGAGGGCAAACTGTTTGGGCAGGTATGTGTCAGACTTTTTAATTTGTTCTATAAATTAGTTTTAAGTACAAATCTCAATGTTTAACATTGTTAATCTACAAAAACACTTAGCCTAGCTACGAGTAGATCTTACAATTAGTTGACAGACTAAGGCCCGTGCTCAAATATAACTTCGGGTTAGCTCCTTTAGAGCTTGGGTGGGCGGTCTCAATAATCATTACCATTCATGTGGTGCATCTCGTCGCCCCAATCATTTGTTGATGGTGGCTCATTGTAACAGCAGGACTTCCTTAGTAGATAAGTCACATGGCGCTGCCGTAGAACGCATATGTATAGCAGCAGTGGAGCCTGGAATGCATTCACTATTATGTGCGCATAGAGTAGGCCGTCTAGAGCCAACCAAGACATGGTAAGAAACAGCCAGGCAAATGACATCACCAGCAACATCAGCGAGAACATGATGAAGCTGTAAAGAAATATTAGTATTCAACATTAATATGTAGAACACATAAATCTAGACTACAATCCACTAACTTAGCCTTCAGCTTGTGGGCAATGCGTCCGTAGACGGTGCGACGGTTGATCAGCTTCCGTGTGGTCACATAGAAGAATATGTTTACTATGATAGTGCACGCAATCGGTGCAAAGAATATGCATATGCCCAGCCAACCAATCGTTTGCTGCTCGCCCCGCATATTCTCCTTCTTGTACGAGTCGGCGTCGAGGAAGAAATGCGCGAAGACCGCCAGCACAGCCATTGTAGCTGTGCAGCCCCATGCATAGAACGAGTAGTAACAATATTTGCGTCCGTCGGTGACGCGCAGAAACACATTCCTCGATCGAAAGGTTTTCCATATGTAATAGCCGAAGCTATTCAACCAAAAGAATGCGGCCAACAGGCTGAAGCACAAAATGATGTCCGCCACAATGAAGCTCACGTGATTGGTGAAATCCGTGAATATGCAGACCAGATCTGCTGCCTGGCTGACCATCAGGCACATTGCAATTGTCGTAACTATATTTCCGACCAGATCTCTGCTAAGAAACAATTATCGAAATGAATAAGTATGACTATTTGACCATTTTGAATGCTAACTGCATCAGTTCTCACCTTAGCGTAGGCAATATAAAATAGACGATGGCTATGATAAGTAATAGTACCAGAGATATGCCATGGAATATGGGATTAAGTACTTTGCGCAACAAAAAGTTCGAATCATTCCAATTGTTTTCCTTTCTGGCCAAGCAAATGTGCGCAAACAGGCTATGCTTGTGCTCCGGGGAAATTGCCTGCAAGTAGAAATATAATCATGAAAATAGATTTAGAGAACACATATTCATTATACTCACCCTGTCCAGACAGTATTGACCTTGCTCATAGTCATAAAAGCGCGGTTTCTGCGCCTCTGCCAAATCCTCATCGTAGTCAGCTTTCACGCCGTTCTGCTCGTCGGCCTCATCCTCGGTATTGGTATAGTGCCTCAATTTGCCATCGTCCAACAGAACCAGCTTGTCGTAGCTCTGTAAGTGAAGGGCCTAGGTAATCACGATGCCATTTGTTAATCCATTTAGTTATACTTACGCCTGCATAGTCCAAAACAGGCCACATCTGTTTGGTGCCACAGTTGGGCACACCAATTACGAACTTAAAATTCGCCACTGGTCTGTTTTGATCGCCGCTGTAGCTGGTAAACATGGGCTGAAAATAGTCTATAAAGAGCATATACGTAAGAATACGGCAGATCACTTCAATTGGGAGCGAGGGGCGCATCTGTCGAACAATAGCAAGCTGCGAACAAAGCCAATCATACAAACACTCGCAAGTCTATAAATATTTACAATGCACGACCATAACGTGCCCGACGCTCTGAAGCATCACAGATCCAGATTCAAATGCAGATTCGCCACACAGCAACGTCATCAGCAATTGACACTCAGACAGCTCGCAGTTTTTTCGAATTGAGTTAACATCTTTAATATTCATTATTTTGATTATGTTGCTGGATTAAGATGTTGATACTAATGAATATTCAGTGGCACACTTATGATTCAACTATTCTAATTTTAAATGCTGTAATTATATTCCTTAGCTATTATAACAAAATGATAATCATAATTGACATGTTGGAACTTGTAACATTCCGATTCTGAAGTATCTGTAAAGTTGTCTAGTGAAAGTAATTGATACTATAAATAAATAAACACATTTTTTAGATCAAATATGAGCTCTGCCAAGATAATAGGATTTAGATTTCCATTACAAACAAACAATAGAAAATTCCACACATTTCAACAAATTTAAATAATTTGTTAAATTAAAAAAAGAAAAACTTCTTAATATAGCTCAAGAGCATTCTAACAATTGCATTCTAACAAAACTTTCTAACCAATCAAATGAATACTGAGCACATTAATTGAAATACTCTCGCCATAAGGCATTCACCCTTAAAAACTTAATGCAAGTGGCTCTTTGTGTGGAATCCCCCGCCAAATAATAAATCTTGATGGCTATGTTTGTTTATAAAACAATGAAGAGGAGTTTTGGAAGCAGCGCCAGTTTCGGTGCTCCTTTGAATGGGCCCTTTAATGTGGGGCATATGTTGCATGCCAAGAGCCAAAAAAAATCCAATAAAGTTGAATGGCCAAGCCGACAGTGACCGAGTTGAACTAATTGTGATTGGCGTTGTCCGTGACAACGGTCATGTTTTGGTGTATTCCCAGATCTGTTCAGTCGCTGGGACAACTTACCAGTTTGGTTGACCTGCTGGCACGTATTGTTCACGTGTATCTCGAACTTCTCACAGCATTTGTTCACCAGCACCAGATTGGGATCGTTGACAGCCGGCACAACCGCCTGTATTGAGCTGTTGTTGGCCACATGAGCGGCAACAGTCCGTAGTGTGGCCAGCAGGGCAAGCAAAAGGCAGCTGCCTTTGACCAGGTATCGCAAAATTTGCGCGCCAATCGTAAATACAAGCATCTCGCACAAATACACTGCTACGGGTACACAGTATACAGTTGCGGATACACCTACAGATACAGATTCACCTACAAATACAGATACACGTACTCGTACTCGCACTCGCACCCGTAATCGAATGCGTCATCAAAGCAGTGGCTGATGCCGGTTTCGAGCCAAGATCATGACTTGCATGCCAAAAACTAAAGCAACCAGACAAGAGACACTTTTTTCTTTTGTAGAGTTTAATTCAGATACAACCACACCATTACCGTTTCGAGATAGAAATACAACTTAAGATGGAGCTGAGCGTATCCGATCACTTCACATTATTCACCGAATATACACGATATACAATTTCTTATTTGCTAAACAATTTTTGTTTGCATTTTAATGCAGCTAGCGCACAAATTCCAAAAGACAACGAACCGCTGCGAACGACAACTGACTGAAAATGAGACTGACTGAAAATGCGAATGAGACTCGGTCTCTCTCTCTCTCTCTCTCTCTTGCTCTACCTTTGACGCTGACGCTGACTCTGACTGCAGGAACGCGTCGGTTCGTTCTCTTAACTTCTAGTTACTAGCGGAAAAAGAAACAGAGAGCCGCAGCAATTGGCATTGGGCTGAGTGTAGAGTTTTATTCTCTTGTCCCTTGCCTCTGCCGCTCGCTACATCCAATAGCACCAACCACCAAGCGCGACAAAGCGTTGAAGCAGGGCTTTGGAATCTGTCTCGCTCTCTCTCTCTCTCTCTCTATCTCTCTCTCTTCTCTCATACATGCACTCTCAAGCAGGGTTTTATTATTTTTTTTTCTGTTTAAATTAAACAACGGAAATTATCAATTGGAGCAAAGCAGACGATTCAAAGAACCGGCAATTCCAACATTGCCTGCTTGTACATGTGTGTGTGGTTCGTTGTTTTTTGTTTTTGTTTGTCTGGCCGTGTGATGATGTGATAAGGCACTTCATCTATTACGCTCGTACGTATTGCATCCCAGCAAAATGCAACTGCAGCAACCCCTCGCAACAATTGAAAACGCGTGCCTTGTCTTTCAATACGCCACACTTGTCAGCACTTGGGAGCAAAAGACGGGCAATGGAACATCAATATGCTTGTATGTGTCCCGAAGAGAAGCCCTTCTCATATCACACCTACCACATACACACTACTACAGCAGTTTTTTGTGTTTGAATGAAATCTCTTTTGAATATAAAGATTTAATGATACAAAATTTCCATTTTTTTTTTTAAATTCCAATTTTAGTATTCACTCATTAATATGCAAAAAATACAATAGAGACCTTCTTTCATATCAAAATTAATGATTTTTTAAGAAAAAGTTTGAAATTTCCAGTCAACCAGCCCGCTAAGGACTTCCGTCAACTATGGAGAAACCGCTTTTTGCTTACTGCTTTTTGCTCTTTTAGTTAGCGCTCTCGCACTCTCGCACTCTCCCAATGCCGAGTTAAGGTAGAAAGCTTGTGTAGACTTCTCGAATAAATACAGTGCACACCGTATTGACCAAAATGATGACGTAGCATACTCAAGCGGCTGTCACAGACCGCCTCGTAGCTTAGCCAGTGCTCGCTATCGTCATGTTACCTGTTTTGCAGACCTAAAGAGAACATTGCTCAGTTCTCAGTGTGTGTGTGTGCTCGTAGAGCTCTCAGCACAGGTAGTATAAAATACCTTCCATTCAATGGACTCGTGTATGGAGCTGCCACAGGAGCGGTTCTGTTTGACTTTGTGGCTGCGTGATAATGTTGACTTTAGAAGTGTCTAGGTTGTGTGTATTTTTTTTAATACTTTTGTAGAGGGTTTTCTAATTCTGCCATGAAATGTGTAACGCATATGAAGGGATAATATTACCATATGTAGTTGTCATTGAAAAATAGATATCTAGACAAACTTACCATTTAGTAACTTGACTATGCTCTTTATATACATAGATTGACACAACATCCGACCATAAATACATACATCAGACCACTTAAGCTCTCGTGAGAATAACTTGTTTTGTATCAAGTTATCTTGGCCAAGCCGGCATTTACTACTTTAACTATGCTGCTTATATATGAAACAAGTCTTATCAAAATGGCATTACTACATAATATAGCTCTATAGGAAGAATCAAGCGAACAAATGTTGTTTTTTTTTTTTTTTTTTTGTGCTGCAAAATATTCAGTTTTCCAAGATATTTGCATCAAATTCAGAATTTACGAGCTTCACTTCTGACTTATCCGCAACACCCTAAGAAAATGTCAATAAGGGTATCCCTTTTTCTCGTTACTACAATATCAGTAAGCAAAAATTCTCATAAGATATTTAATAAGCTTCAGATATATAACATATTCATCTGTAACTTTTCGTGCTAACTAACTGATGTTAATTCATATCTTAAAAGCTGTTAGGCTGTATATCCATGTACGAAACTCTGTTCCCATTTTTAACGATATTAATACAAGGTCTAAACTATTAATTGGAATATTAAGTAAGAGACTTAGTCCGTACAATTACGACTAACACTAAAATCGTTTTGCCTTTCTTGATTATTTAATTTAGCTATTGGACATGCTCAAGTTTTACACCCGTTTCGAAATTAACGATGTGACAGGCAACTCACTGACCGATCACGACATGACCCAGCTGCATTATAAGAAGATCACCTCGCTGCAGCGGGCTGTTTTCGCCAAGTTTTCAACGCTGCGCGTCTTTGCTTTGTCTAATGTGGCGACAGTGGACAGTCGCGATTCGCTAGAGAAGCATTTCGGTGCTTTAGATTCTGAGGGACTAAAACAGATTGCTTCCTTTCTTAATCTTGTGCCTGACGAGGCAGTGGAGCCATTTCAATGGCATCGATTGGATGAACCGTTTCTGCGCGAGTTGCTCATCACGCGCCATGAGAAGCGATGCTCGCAACTGGAGGCGCTTAACGAGATGCCACTGTATCCCACGGAGCAGATTATTTGGGATGAGAATGTGGTGCCATCGGAATATTACACAGGCGATACCTGTCTAGCCCTGCCCAAACTAAATTTACAGTTCCTCACGCTTCACGATTATCTATTGCGCAACTTTAATCTGTTCCGGCTGGAATCCACGTATGAGATACGCCAGGACATTGAGGACGCGGTCAGTCGCATGCTACCCTGGCAGTCGGAAGATGGCGATGTGGTCTTTGGTGGCTGGGCACGCATGGCGTTGCCCATTGCCAGTTTTGCTGTTGTCGAGGTGGCAAAGCCGCATCTGGGCGAGAAGAAGCCTTCGCGAGTGCGCGCCGATGTCGGCGTGACGCTGTCAGTGCGTCGTGAGATTAAGGAGGAATGGGAGAATCTGCGCAAACACGACGTCTGCTTCCTAATCACAGTCAAACCAACGCAGCCCTATGGCACCAAGTACAATACAAGGGAGCCCTTTATACCCCAAGTGGGCCTAGTTAGCGTGCGTGGCTGCGAGGTGGAGGGGATGCTCGACGCTAATGGACGTGTTATAGAGGACGGGCCAGAACCGCGACCGAAGCTTCCGGGTGAGCAGCGCTGCTATCGCGTCTGGCTGGACTCAAACCAGTATCGCATGGACATGGACGACTTGCAGGAGGTAAGTTTGGAAATGCTGCTTGTAAATAGCCGTTTACTCATCCTTCTGCAATCAGGGCGCCGACGATGTCTACGAGAGCTTCAATATTCTGATGCGCCGCAAGCCAAAGGAGAATAATTTCAAAGCCGTCCTAGAAACCATTCGTCATCTGATGAACACAGAGTGTGTAGTGCCACCCTGGCTGCATGATATATTGCTCGGTTACGGTGATCCGGCGGCGGCACACTACAGCAATATGCCCAATCAGGAACGCAGTCTCGAGTTCAACGACACTTTTCTGGACTACGAGCATCTACAAGTCAGTTTTCCCGATTATGAGCTCAAATGCGAAGCGGCGGAAGGGAGCAGAGACCCGCCTTACCGCCTTATCTTTGAGGATGTGGCCGAACAGCGTGACTGTGACACGGAGAAAATGCAAACGGATCAGCCTGCCCTTACTAAATCAATTGTAGTGCAGCCCTATAAATACGAGGCGAGAGGTCCCTATCTCAGCGACAAGCCCAAACAGTGAGTACCAAAAGCAGCCACTAAAATAACACAAATTTATCATTCTCGTGTTGCCGTCCTTAGGAATTGCATACGCTTTACGCCCACACAAATCGAGGCAATACGTGCTGGTATGCTGCCGGGTCTTACTTTGGTCGTGGGTCCACCCGGCACGGGCAAAACTGATGTCGCCGTGCAAATTATCTCGAATATCTACCATAATCATCCCAATCAGCGTACGTTAATTGTGACGCATTCCAATCAGGCTCTGAATCAGCTGTTCGAGAAGATTATGGCGTTGGATATTGATGAGCGACATCTGTTGCGTCTGGGTCATGGTGAGGAGGCGCTTGAAACTGAGAAGGACTACAGTCGCTATGGCCGCGTCAATTATGTGCTGGCAAAGCGCATGGACTTGCTCAGTCAAGTGCAGCGCCTGCAAGAGGCTTTGGGTGTGAGCGGGGACAACGCTTACACCTGCGAGACGGCGGGCTACTTCTATCTATACAATGTGATGGCACGTTGGGAAAAGTTCCAAAGCCAGATGGACGCACACAACTCGGAAACGGATGTGAACAAGCTGTGCGCGGTGTTCGAGACTGAGTTTCCATTTTCCAAATTTTTTTCCGATGCACCACAACCGCTCTTTAAAGCAAACAGCTTTGATGAACTTATGAGCATAGCACAGTCAAACTTTCGCTATATTTCTGAAATATTTACTGAGCTTGAGGAGTTCCGCGCCTTTGAGCTGTTGCGTACAGGCCTAGATCGTTCCAAGTATTTATTGGTCAAGGAGGCTAAGATCATTGCCATGACCTGCACACACGCTGCGCTTAAACGAAAAGAACTTGTGAATCTGGGTTTTCGTTATGACAACATCTTGATGGAGGAATCAGCGCAAATCTTGGAGATTGAGACATTTATACCGCTGCTGCTGCAGAACCCACTGGACGGTTTGAATCGCTTAAAGCGCTGGATCATGATTGGGGATCATCATCAGCTACCTCCTGTCATCAAAAACATGGCCTTTCAGAAATACTCAAATATGGAGCAAAGTTTGTTTACGCGTCTTGTGCGTCTAGGCGTACCAACCGTTGATCTGGATGGGCAGGGACGTGCTCGTTCCAGCATATGTTCACTGTATAAGTGGCGATATAAAAAATTGGCAGATCTACAGCACATCTTTGAGCGGGACGAGTATAAGAAGGCAAATTCAGGTTTAGTTTATGACTATCAGCTGATCAATGTGGAGGATTTCAAGGGCGTGGGCGAAAGCGAACCCAATCCTTACTTCTATCAGGTAAGTAGATCTCATATTTTACATTCCGTATCTGGCTAACATAAGTTTTCTCAATAAGAATCTTGCCGAGGCGGAATATATTGTTGCTCTGTACATGTACATGCGTCTGATGGGCTATCCCGCTGCCAAGGTATCCATACTGACCACCTATAATGGCCAAAAGCATCTTATACGCGATGTTATTAATGCTCGCTGCGGCAATAATCCGCTCATTGGCTGGCCGCATAAAATCACCACCGTGGACAAGTACCAGGGCCAGCAGAATGATTACATTCTAATCTCCCTGGTACGCACAAAGGCTGTTGGCCATTTGCGCGATGTGCGCCGTTTGGTCGTGGCTATGAGCCGTGCACGTCTCGGGCTATACATCTTTGGACGCGTATCGTTATTCAAGAACTGCTTGGAATTGCAGCAGACGTTTAAGTTGGTAAGTAAGACCAGCACAAGAGGATCAACTTAAAAATAAACTGTACTTATTTCTTGCAGCTCATGCAGCGACCTTTGAAGCTACGCCTGTTGCCATCAGATGCATATCCGACCGAACGGCTGACCAGCGAGCCGGTTGCAGATAATATTAGTAAAACCGTGGAAAACATGTCCGAGATGGCGCAATTTGTCTATGAGCTATACATGACTAAAATAGACCAGCTTAAGGATAAGTTGCCTACAGAAGAAGAGTTGCGAGTTATGCGGAGGGAGTTGCCAAATGAAGATACGGATGAATTTGCCGAGGAGGCAGCTGCGAATGCAACTGAGCTTAACGATGAGCCACCACAGAAGGCAGCAAAAGAAAAAACAAAAAAGACTCCTGAAGCTTTTAAGCCCACGCCCATACTTAATGAGATCAACGTGGATGAGCAAGAAATGGAGCGGCAGCAGGATCAGCAGGCCCCAGATGCTGAAACCCCGCCACAGATGGAAACTGGTGAAACAACTAAGATTGAAGAGTCGTAGCTGCTGCTCTGTAAATTTAATTCCAATAATTGGTAACAACTCATTAAAATCGATAAATACAAACAACGACACACACACAGTGTGCAGCATCTATTTCTTCGGTGCCGTAATGCCCTCAAGCTGGGCCTTGAGCTGTGCATTGGTTTTCTTCAGGAAAGTTATCTCCTCGGTAAACTTCTTCTCCTCTGAGGCACGCAGCTCAGCATTGCGACGTTCGGCCTGCTCCTGTTTCATTTTCATGTCGGAAATGATTTCCTCGAGTGCCTCCTTATCCGACTCCAAAGTCTTGACGCGATCCCGGAGCATTTCCTTCTCCTCGTGCGCCTGCAGAGCTTTACGCATGCCAAATGCCACAGAACTGCAGTAAAGGGTCTCGTAGGCCTCCATTGACATTGCGATCTCGTCACGAATGCGCAGCAGTAGCAAACCGCGTTCCGAGCAGTTAATTGTCACCTGACGTATAATTTCATCTGTTTTTTAAATGCATTGGTTAGCGTACTTAAAGAATTGGGTAGCTACAGCTCACCAAAGCACTGTGAGTAGAGCTCACGGCGAACGGGGCAGATACCCGTCTCGCGAGCCTGCGTCTGCTGCAGGCGAGTGTCCAGCATCTCCTGCAAGTTAATAACATCTTGGCGGGTGGCTGGTGTGCTGGACACAGATTGCTGCCACAATTGGCCATCCTCTTCCCAGCAACGTGGTGGCAATATAGAGTTTAGTATCTCTTCAGTCTCTTTCTTGGTATCTAATAGGGCACCAGCCGTTTGGGGACGCTTCATTTCCATCTCCGTTAGCGGCGCGCCCTTTTTGTCCGGATGCTTGACAACGAGCACCGGGTTGTTGTAGCGGACCAGGGTCTGAAAATGGCCCACACTAGCAATCTCCATGTCATCCATCTTGTTGATTTTGGCTCTATTCCGTTAATTTCAACTCTAAAAAACTATAATCCAATCTGTAGAAACTATTTTTATGTGTTGTTATTCCGACGTGTTCAACAATTTTTGTTGATTTAAAAAGCTGAAATGCCTTTATTGAGGAAAAGCCCGAAGAGGTATGTGTTTGTTGTACTCCTAGCAACTATGACAGCCGAGCAACGAGGAAAGCTTGTTTACCAGACAAACAAATATCAACAGGTGGCAGTGAGGACATCAAAGGTAAAGTATTGTAGTCAGAAATCCCTTTCACATTCAAAAGATATATTACTTGTTTATTTGACCATTTATTATATCGTATGTATACTGTAAATGCAAAGAAATGAGCTATGACTCTGTTCTAATGGATGCAATAGAGCAGTGGGCAACTGCACAAGAGTTGTTTGCACATATGTATTCTATATATTATATTTAACTAAACTTACTAATAATGTGTATGAGCAAGCGCGGCTAATTAAACTATAAACTTAGTGCTAACAGTTAAAGTCCGAAAACTAACGTAATACGACTTGGAAGAGCAAATAATTTAGTCCTTTTCTAAGTGGTATAACTTAGTAATACAAAATGAGTGGGCATTTAAACTAATATCGCGGCGTTATTCGAGTAAAGTAAACCAATAATTGCAACCATATCTAGTCGTATATGTGTAACGCTTACACATTAAGTTGGACATCATTAATATATTCATTATATAGATTTATATGTATGTATAGATTTATATATATATGTGTTTTCTTCATATATATTATTGTCATTATTTATGCGGTAGAAATTCCACTATGGGGTTTTGCTTTGTAGCTGTTTGCACACTTTAATACATTCATACTGTTACGTTTTATTTTGTTTTTTCGTGATTATGTGGATTTTATATATTCGTTGGCATATAAGATACTACTACGCTATGCATATATGCTCTATATATATACTTGTGTCTACATATATATGAACTTGTATAAATATTTTGTATTTACGCAACGGCAAACTCAAGAAATGCAAAAGATCAGATCAGTTGAACTAAGCCATATTAAGGTGTTCTCTATGTTAGCTACTACATAATTTACAAGTTAGCAGTTAGCTGCAGTTTTGACTGCTTAAATAAGCTCGGCTACGGCGTCGTCGCCATCTCGTATTGGTGCCTGGAATGTGGAGCCTGTGAACTCGTACATCTGCAATAGGCGTAAGGGATTTATTGCCAGGCATGCAACATATGTGCTGCTGTGCGCCTACTTACAGAAGGTGCTCGATTGTTGCGGAGTGTTGCATAGTCTGCGAAATCGTTGACATGTGGATCGACGCGGGTTAGTAGCAGCCCAGCACCACCGATGCCGCCGGCACTGCCCGCACCACCGCTGCGCATGGAGATGGAACCACCACCACCATTGCTGCCTGAGCCGGCTGTCAGGCGATTCTGATTGTTGCGTGGCTGTATGGTGGCATACGTATTGTCCACCGACTGTCCATGATGCACCTGCTCCAGCGAGCTGCGGTGATCCAAATGCCCGGGCGCATCCGAGTTGGATATGTGATCGGGCTCCGAAAAGACCTGCATGGTAAGCTCCTGTTCCTCATACAACTTGAGTTTTCTGCGAAACGATAAAATCTCGTTAAATGTATAAAATTTGTATGAGTCTAAGGCATGCATACTGTTCAATCCACAGCGGATTCTCGGTCGTATTCAAATCCTCAATGATTTGCTTTTTGATCAAAGCCTCCTTGCGACGCGTCTCTACGGGCACAGAGAGATTCCAATGCTTCAAACAACAGCAGAGCACAATAAAGCTAATGACGCCCACGAAGAGCACTATGACCAGAGCAACCAGACCAGCAACAGCCAAATCAAACTCATCCTGCACAATGGCTATATAAGCGGGCACTACGTTCTCAATGGCAAAGCCAGCATAGTAATCCTGCCAAGAAATACACATGCACGGTATAAATTAAGGGTTGTGGGCAATTCGGCTGGTGTTACCTTGAGATAATCATAGTTTCTGTCAATATCCTTGAGTATTTCATCGACAGGCGCAATTTGTTGTGTCTGCGGATCTACGGCATGGAAATACAGATCACACCAATCCATGCGAATGCGTCCAATTGAGTCCAAGTGGAAACGTATCTCATCCACAATAATGCGATGCTGTGTGGCATTTCGTAACTCGGCTATAATTTCTTCCTGCTCCTGATAGACCTCTTCGGGCGGGCGCGATAGAATCACCCTAACCAGTTGTGTGCCATCAAATACCCAAATCTGAAAAGCATATATCCTTAGCTCTAATGTTTAATTGTTAAATACCTCGAACCAACATACATTAACTTTGGTATTCGCCGAACGCTGTGGCTGCTCCAGTTCACGTGCGACAATCTCCAGCTCAAAACGATCCTGATTATACTCCGCCATTATGGTATTAGCCGTAATGCGGCCATCCTGCGATATGGCAAACGGACTGGGTACAATGGACCCCGTTGATTTGGTGGCACCGAACTTGTATAGATTGGAGGCAACAATCATATACTCGATCTTGGCATTTTTACCCTGATCCGCATCGCTGGCATTGACCAGCGTGATGGCCGCATTCATCTTAGCATTGGCATTAACGCCCGCATAGTAAACGGATTTCTCGAACACCGGCGCATTATCATTCACATCCAGAACTGTAATGCCCACCTTGGCCACAGTATTGTCCCGATTCAGTGTCTTGATGGAAAACGAGGCGCGCTCCTCTTCGGATATATGCAAGTCCGCTTTGATGCTGGCCAAGATGTACAAAGTATATGCATCTGTCTGCTCACGATCTAGGCTTTTGTTCGTATAAATATCCCCAGTCAGTTTGTCTACATAGAATGCGCCATCCTCATTGCCCAGCAACATATAGTAGAATATATCACGATTGTGTTTGCTGCGTGAGGCGGCTTGAATGTGTCCAATCTTGACATCACGACCGCTGTTCTCATTAATCGAGACTTTGTAAGGATTGGAGGCGTCCGGGAACTCGGGGCGATTCTCATTTGCATCAACAATGCTGACGGTCAGCAGACGCAGCGATTCAAATGGCGGATTACCGGCATCACGTGCTACCAATATAATATCATAGCTGCAAGACAATGGAAGGAAACACATAGAGGTACTCCGCCTTGGGAACTATCTTGTTCTTATTGTTCAACTTACTTGGCGCGATGCTTGCGGTTGAGCTGCTGCCTGGCACGCAGCTCTCCGCTGGCTTCGTCGATCTTGAATTGCGTTGTCTGCTGCACATTTTGATTGTTCACCTGCAGATGGTAACTAATCTTGCCACCACCATCGGTGTCGTTGTCCAACGCCTTGACTGTCAACAGCAAATAGTCCGGTTGCACAATGTCACCAGGTATTTCAATTGTGGCATTCGACAGAGCAGGAATAACAAACTCTGGGCGATGCCGATTCACGCGCAACACCGTAATGATTGCTCTTGCGGTGCTCTCCATGGTGCCCGATCCCTGGGTATCACGGGCAGAGATCAGCAACTCGTAGACACCATGTTTGCCGGCCAAGCTTTGGGCCGGATAGATGATGCCCGATTGTGCGTCCAGCTTGAACAGTGCCAGCTCATTGCCCGCCGTAATAATGTAGCGCACATCTCCGTATAGACCCTCATCCAGATCTATAGCCTGCACCTGCAGCAGTGCAGCCGGTGGCTGATACGCTGCATTTTCCGACACCGTCGAATTGTACACGGTTCGTGTAAAAACTGGTGCATTGTCATTGACATCCAAAACGTTTATGTGTATCTGGGAAAAGAAATGGCAATATGAGAGGCTGTTATATATCTATATCTATATCTATATCTATATCTATATCTATATCTATATCTATATCTATATCTATATCTATATATCATATCTATATCTATATCTATATCTATATCTATATCTAATATCTAATATCTATATCTATATCTATATCTATATCTATATCTATATCTATATCTATAATCTATATCTATATCTATAGCTATATCTATATCTATATCTATATCTATATCTATATCTATATCTATTCTATATCTATATCTAATCTATATCTATATCTATATCTATATCTATATCTATATCTATATCTATATCTATATATATATCTATATCTATATCGAGAGCGAGAGCGAGAGCGAGAGCGAGAGCGAGAGCGAGAGCGAGAGCGAGAGCGAGCGAGCTAGCGCGAGCGAGAGCGAGCGAGAGCGAGCGCGAGAGCGAGAGCGAGAGCGAGAGCGAGAGCGAGAGCGAGAGCGAGAGCGAGAGCGAGAGCGAGAGCGAGAGCGAGCGAGAGCGAGAGCGAGAGCGAGAGAGTGCGCGAGGAGAGCGAGAGCGAGCGCGAGAGAGCGAGCGAGAGCGAGAGCGAAGCGAGAGCGAGAGCGAGAGCGGAGCGAGAGCGAGAGCGAGAGCGAGAGCGAGAGCGAAGCGAGAGCGAGAGCGAGAGCGAGCGCGAGAGCGAGAGCGAGCGAGAGCGAGAGCGAGAGAGAGCGAGAGCGAGAGCGAGAGCGAGCGAGAGCGAGAGCGAGAGCGCTGCGAGCGAGAGCGAGAGCGAGAGCGAGAGCGAGAGCGAGAGCGAGCGCGAGAGCGAGCGAGAGCGAGAGCGAGAGCGAGAGCGATAGCGAGAGCGAGAGCGAGAGCGGAGCGAGAGCGAGAGCGATAGCGAGAGCTATATCGAGAGCGATAGCGATCTATATCTATATCTATATCTAGATAGCGATATCTAGATCTATATCTATATCTATATCTATATCTATAGCTATATCTATATCTATCTATATCTAATCTATATCTATATCTATATCTATCTATATCTATATCTATATCTATATCTATATCTATATCTATATCTATATCTATATCTATATCTATATCTATATCTATATCTATATCTATATCTATATCTATATCTATATCTATATCTATATCTATATCTATATCTTATCTTTTTCTATCTATCTCTATATATTCATTTTTTTTCACTCACCGTTGCCGTTGCCGACTTTTGCACCGTTGCTGGTGCCTTATCCTGTGCCACGACGGATAGAGTCAGTTCCTTTAGCTGCTCCCTATCCAATATGGAGGCATTGGCCACCATCACGTTGCCCGTGTAGGCATCGATGCTAAAGTATTTATTGTTCTCGCCAATAAGCGTGTAGGTCAGCTCGCCAAAAGCTCCCACATCTCCATCGTGGGCCTCCACTTTACCAGCAACGGTGCCGCGTGGTGAGTTCTCTGTTACGTTGAAGTAGTACTCAGAGTGGGTAAAGTGCGGCTCGTTGTCATTCAGGTTGATGATGTCAACAACAATGTCCGCTGTTGCTGTAAGCGGCGGCACACCTGTATCACTGACTGTGGCCATGAATTTCACCTCCTTGACGGCCTCATAGTCCAACCGGGCAGTCGTGTAGATGACGCCAGTGGTCTGATTGATGGCAAAGTAATCATTCGACGTTATGTTGAACTCGCCAATGCTGGAGTCCTCGTCGCTAGCCTGCAGAGTGGTCAGCATTGTACCAACTGGTTGCTCTTCAACCATTTGCAGCTTAATCACCGGCTGTTCTTGGCTCCAGGGTGCATTGAATCTCTGTATTGAATGGGAAAAAGTGGGGGCGAGAGCATGTCGTTTATGAAAATTGAGTCAGAAAATATTTGGATATTAGGCTGCTTTCTGACGCTCAATATGGCGCAAGATATGTCCTATGGGAAGCTAAAGATACTCTTTATAAACATCATTGCCATATTGTACAAGGCGACCGCTTTGAATGTCCACCGATTGCATTCGGATTTGCGCGAAACTAAAGTGCTGGTCAATTCAGCCAAGCAGGAGGTCTGGATACGTGAACTTTTCATATTCCTCATATCTGGGTTGATTCTAATGCGCTTTCTAATGTGTTTTCTTGGACTAGCGTCAAATATCGTTGCTATGTAAGTTGAGAGATTTTGTTTATTGGAGTCTCCAAAAATTCTGTAGCTTTAAATTTATAACAACGACTAATCGAGTCGGGCAGTCATGGCCATCGGTCGAATATATCTTAAATTTTTGCTGCGGTACATATATAAGTCAGACCGATGGAACTACTTACTACATCAGTTAGGTCTGGCCTAATTACGTGCTTGACATCACTTAAATAGTTTTGGCAATAATTTTTAATAACGGACTACTATATCATATACCTTCCATGCTTTCCCGGATATTATCATCTTCCCGACAGTTGAACGTTTTTATTAATATATTTTTATTGACGACGGACTTTAACATAATATAGTAGTTACCATACCATCGGATCGCTAAAATACAAAATACTTGGCGTATGCCAAAGGTCAGATAAGCAAAAACTCATTGGATATTTGGCATACGGAGAACTCTAATTTCTTGTTCATCTTTTTACTGTCTGAATGTTATTTCTTTGCCTCTCCTGAACGCAGTTATCCAATTTTGACAAATTCCCAGCCGGAACTGCTAATGCCAACAATTATTGTGCAGGTCCTTGATAGTGTAGTATTGCACATTTACGAGATAGTTTTGGGCTATTGCTGTTTAAAGTACCTATACTCTCAATCCTTTGCTGTATTTGCGATATTCCTGGCCAAGATGACCATCAAGGCCACCTGCTGTATAATGGTGCTGTAAGCAGCGACTGAAGTGTTAAAATACTGTTTAAGACATTGCTAGGTAGAATTAAAACCTTTGCTAATGCCTGGCTAAACTTAATCAGTATTAGAACACTGTTCTTTAATATCAACCCCTGACTTTTTAACCCTGTTCACAGTAATATCTACTCGGAGAAGCATCATCAGATGACAACGAATGTGGCCTACACTGAGAATGGAGTCAATCTTGAGCGCGACAGTAGCGAAGAATTTGAAATAGCCCATCAACATTTTCGGCCCATCGGTTAGTAATAAAGAGTGAGTGTAAATTTAACAGTGAAATTGAACCTACCGGTGGTATTTTATTCACATCGATGATCTGTATGATGAGTAGGCCGCGTCCCTGCTGCACATTGGGGGCTGTACTGTCCGTAACGAGCACATTAATGCGCATAACAGCGAACAGATTGCGATCCAGTTGCCGGTTGACGAGAACTTTGCCGTTGCGGGCAATGGCAAAGTATTCCTTAAACTGTTCGCTGTGGGGCAGCTCCTTACCCTCCTTGTCAATGGCAGTAATGTCATCGGTGGCGGCAAACTCGAGCGCGTTATGCGTGGCTACATCTGGATCAAGTGCTATCAGTGTGTAGACTAGGTGGCCAGTGGGTGCATCTACACGCACCTCAGCGTGTTGCGTGGCAGGTACGAAGTAGGGATCTTTATCGTTGCTGTTTTGCACATTGATTGTCAATGTGGCGGTGCCCGTAAGACTGGGGGTGCCCTGATCGGCGGCCTGCACCTGCAGGTGATAGGTGTTCCGTCTGTCGTAGTCGAGCTTTCGGGAGACAAACACCTCGCCAGTGCGCTCATCAATATCAAAGTCATTGAAGCTGCCCTGCTGTATGCGATAGCGTAGCTCGGCATTCTTACCAGTATCCAGATCCGTGGCCTGCAGCTTCTCAACGCTGGTGCCAATTTCTGAGTTCTCCTCGACGATAGCACTATAGTTCTGCTGCTGAAAACTGGGCATATGATTGTTAACATCGCGCACAGTTATGTTAACGCCACAGTTGGCCGTAAAGAGCCCATCATTGGCCTCCACCACAAAGATGAGCTGCTCGCTCTTCAGATTCGTCACATCCAGACTGGCATTGGGGCGTATACTAATCTGGCCGCTGCGCTTGTCAATGTCAAAGGTGCTCTCGATCTGTGGCGAGCCGATAATCCGGTAGCTAATGCTAGACATTGTGTCCGCATCGCGTGCCTTTACCACCAATGGAGAATCAAATACAAAGGCGCCCTCATCCACACTGGCACGGTAAAGAGGACTCTCACATACGGGCGGCGAATCGTTGGCATCGCTCACAGAAATGCGTAGGGACACCACAGAGGTCTGACCTTGTCCATTGTCATCAGTGGCCTGCATAATAATCAAAGAAAAATAGATTGTGTTGAAGGTATTGATCAGAATATCTATGCTGATGCCGGCATTTAAATACCCTAATCAGGTAAAAATGTAGAGCTACATCTACATTTTATGATTGGAACACAGATAAGCTTTACGTGAATCTAAGCTATTAATGTACTACACTGTAAAATCTGCTTGGCTTTAATTGAGCATTCAATGTTTTCGATTTAAATTTAATTTCAAAAGGTCAAATCAATGATTAAAAACTTTTTAGACATTACACTTTTTTTAAACATTGATTTATATATCTTACAATTTTGGTTTATTGGTGTTTTTGGAAAACCATATAATTTGTGTTAAATTTAGTTGGGTATGTCTTACGACACAAATTCTTACACAGTTAAAAATAATATTTTAAGGATTTGTTAAATAATAATAAAAATAAATGTTGCGTACTTTATACAAATTGCGAAATGTTTTTAATAAGTTTCAATACCAAAGCAAAAGTACACAAATATTTATAGTTGCGTTTATTTTGCACGGACTTTAAGTAAAAATCAATTATTTATTTAATTTCTTAGAGAGATGTTCTAAGAATTCTATTCAATATAAGAAAAAATAGCAAGGAGCCCTTTTTTTTATATTTCCAAATGATAATTAGTTAAAAAAATAAAAATAAAAAATGTAGGACATAATAATTACCTATTTATAAGATAAAATAAAATTATAAGCAAAATGAATATGCAATTTATATAGTAAAACTTATACTCATTATTTTCCCTTCTATTCTTCTATATAACAAGGCCGCCTACAAATTGCAGAGAATAGTTAACTAGCCCCGTTACAAGCTGATAAAAAAAAGTTGTTTGTCAACCTTTTCCCACACCCACCTTGTATGACAAGAAGTACGTGGTCTCCGATTCATAGTCCAGACACGTCGGCGGCACCTCGCTGCTGGCGGCTTTTTCGTCATTAGCAGCTGCCGCTGCCGCTGCTGTTGCCGCTCCCGCTGCCGGCTCGGACTGCAACGGCGCCTGCGTGATTAAAGCGTATTGCACGGTGGGTTCTGTGTTAATCTGTCGCTGGTCGACGTTGTGTTCCGCCTCCATGGAGAGCATTTCGAGTGCGTGACCATCGCTGTCATTCTCATGGAGGTCACGTCGCTGGCGCCTGTTGCGCTCCTGCTGACAATCGCCCAGGGTAATGACGCCCGTTTGCTCATTGACATGAAACAGTTCGGCACCGGTGCCGGAGAGGCTGTAGCGTATGCCGGCATCACCAAAGCTGCTCGAATCCACATCTTTGGCGGTAATCGTTGTGATATATTGTCCTGGCAGGGCTGCCTCGGAGACAGTGGCCGAGTAGCTCTCCTGCTCGAAGCTAGGCTTGTTGTCATTAGCATCCAGCACACTTACGGTTATGGTGGCCGTAGAGGATAATTTGGGCTTCGTATCCGTCTCCTCGGCAATCACCAGGACTATGAACTTGCGCTGATTGGGATTCTCGTAGTCCAATGTGCCATTGGCTACGCGTATGTTGACCTGTGAATAGCCTGTCACCAGATTGGGCTCCACATCAAACACACCCGACACGTCCTCTAATCGCAGCGCAAACTTCGAGTTGATGCCCACATCAGCATCGCTGACGCTCATGTCCAGGGCCAGTGGAGTGCCCTCTGGCGTGTTTTCGAGCAGTGAAACTTCATATTCCTTTTTATTGAATATGGGAGGCGAATCGTTGACATCGCGTATGGTCACAGTAGCTCTAGCCGTAGCACTTGTCAGCGGATCATCATTGGGTACACCATTCACCAGCTCGCGGGCGCGTATCAGCAGCGGAATAAGACCCGTCGAATCAGTTAAAGCCTCACGATCAAGGGGCTTGGCAGTACGCAGCTCGCCGCTGTGTGAGTCTAGCAGGAAGTAATCGTTGGGATCTAAAGGCATTGGGAGAGACGAAAAGTAAGTTCAATCATTTAAAGAGAACAAATACTCTTATATATTTAAAAACCACATAATTTCTAAATTATATTTTAAATTATAAAAAATGATGTGGCCTAATCTTCAAGCTCAGAATACAGCAATAGCTTCGACGTTTTCTCATTTATTATTATCGTTTTAATGAATAACAAACTTAAAAAACATATATATAAGCTCAGAATTGCTGCTGAATTCGAGCCGGCGACGTCTGCCTTTTTAGTACAGGCCACGCAGATGTATTTCATATAGACTTTTACAATCCAGTTGAAGGCAAAATTTGTCTTAAAGGAAGCTTCTGTACATTTCAGATTTGTAGCTCTTACGGTTTTGGCTGTGCGCTGATTACTTTCAAGTCAATCAGTTAGGACCTACCGATTAAGTTAATTTAACTTTTACTATCAAATAACTTACTGCTGAGCAAGTCGTAGACTATTTTTCGGGGTTCTCCTGTGTCACCATCACGAGCGTGAACAGTGAGCACCAATGTGTTAATGGGACTGTCCTCGTCAATGACTGTCGATAGCGAGCCTTGGAATACTGGCGGCTTATCCTGCACATCCTTGACGCGTGCCTCAAATGTTGTCTGTGTTTTGTGCGCTCCATCGCTAGCCTCGATTTGAAAATGGTAAATCATACGCTGGTTGTAGTTGAGGGTATCGTTGAGCACTACTGCAGCTGTTAAGATGGTCGCTTCTCTTGTCAGCAATTGCAAGCGGAATCTGCAAAGATCGATAGAATTTTAAATAGAAGTTTTGAACAGTACTTGACTTGGGCTTACTTGCTGCATGCCTCAGGACTTTGCTGCTGGGGTAAACACTTTAGATCAAGGCTGTCACCAATTGTATCGCGATCCTTGACCAAAATTTTATCAAAAACCGTGGTGCCCACAACAGCATCTTCGTTTACATCCGCCTCATAAGGGGTCTAAGGTAATAAAGTTAAAATCAATGTGAATCTTTCAGTAAACTGTTCGGCTGCTTTTTCCACTTACATTCTGGAACTCTGGCGGATTATCATTCTCATCGAGTATGATGAATGTAATGGGCTGTTCGACAACATTATCTTGCTCTGATTCGCCATTTGGATCCACGCGATCTCTGATCGATACCAAAAATGTCAAGCTGTCCGTTTCTTCGCGATCCAATGGCTTGACCAGCGTTATATTGCCAGAAACTGGATCTACGCTAAAGTGATCAGAGCCAATGGAGCCAAATGTAACATTACTTTGCTCAGGATCGAATCCCTCTAATCGAAAGACCACTGTACCCACTGGCACATTCTCATAGAGCACAATATTGTTGAGGGTCTGGGTAAACACGGGCGGTAAATTCGTTTCAGCTGCAGAAATGTTGGAGGGTTAGGCAGATTTTACAGGGTATATAAGATAATGCTTACAGCTCACTAGTTCCGATGCCAGACAGATAATTAACAGCATTAGCGTCCACTTCATTTTGTTGGCTGAAACGAAAGCAAATGACAACGTTGTGTTTATTTATGTTGTGTGATAAAACATATAAACAAACTAAGCCAAGCAGATTTGCCAGCTTGTGCCAAATTACAAAATAAGAAAAACAAAAAACAGCAAATGCTGTTAACTTGTTTTCACTTTTGGATTTGCATTTTTTCGGCCATTTGTTGCGCAAACAAACAACAAAGATAAATTAAATTTCATGCTGAAAATTCAATTAGCTGACAACACACAAACAACAGGAAGGCGCGCGCCATGGCGGAAGGGCGGAAGGGTGGGGCCGAAGGGGATAAGCGAGCGGCGACAAACGACGTCAACAACAATGGCCATAACAATATAACGATGCTGATAATAAGCAACAAAACAACAACAAGAACAACATCCAGCAACATTGTTCCAAATTGTGCACTTTAACTGAAGTCGAAGTCCGGGTGGCCGAGTTTCGAGCAACTGCCAGTAGTCGCCCGCTT